AGGGTCGGGGCACCTGGGCGAAGGCAGGCCTAGGAGAGGAAGTTGTTGAGACCTGTCTGCTCAGGTCCCCGCACGTGTTCTCTGACTGCCACTGAATTCACTTCCTTGTCCTTCCCAGAAATCATAGCCTCCGACTGAACACAGAGCAAAAACAGGAGCCCCTGGCTGGATGGACTTGTCACATCCCAGACCTATGGATGCAGAGCCAGGAGCCTGAGGAGGTTGGACCCACTTTCAGTTACTGGCAGAATGAATCATCTTTCTTGTAAGTCATAGAACTATTTTAATATTTTATCAGGATATTTAACTTAGGCCAAGCCCAGTTTTTACAGGCCTGAAACTATTGATAAAGGGGCACTTGGGTGACTCAGTCAGTTAAGCGTCTGCCTTAGGCTCAGATCCTGATCCCAGGGTCCTGGGATGGAACCTCACACTGACCTCCCTGCTCAGCGGGGTGTCTGCTTCTCCCTCTGCCCCTCCCCCCTGCTCATGTGCGTGCTCTCTTGCTCACTCTCTCTCAAATAAATAAATAAAATCTTTAGAAAAAAATTCTTTTAAATTATAAAACCTATTGATAAAATTGGCTTCCCTTTGACATTTCAGGGTGATAACTCAAGCAGAGTGGGCAGGCTCCCATCTCCAAGACCCAAAATGGGGTGCAAACTACTGAAATAGGCCTGCCTGCCCAGGTGGCTCAGAGGTTTAGCGCCTGCCTTCAGCCCAAGGTGTGATCCTGGAGACCCAGGATCAAGTCCCACATCGGGCTCCCTGCATGGAGCCTGCTTCTCCCTCTGCCTGTGTCTCTGCCTCTCTCTCTCTGTGTCTCTCATGAATAAATAAATTAAAGAAGGCAGGCCTTCTGTGTCTCAGGAAATGTTTTCACAAGAGCAATGCGGTACAGACAGGAAGGACAGGCCCCTGGATGTGGTGGTCAGCCAAATAGAATTCAAGTTTGTTTCTTCCCATTTTCTAGTAGTGTGATCTTGTTTATTATTCAGCTTCTCTGAGCCTTGACTTTCTGATCCATAAAATGGGCACAATTACACCTCTCTGTCATTCTCACAGAGTCATCATTTTCAGCATTGGTAAGCGACCAGACCCAAGGGCTGAAGTTGCTAATTTGGCAGCAGCAAGAAGCACCTAGCCCAAACTGGCTCACTGTCTCCTTGCAGGGTGGCCGTAGCCTGGTGATCCAGGCAGACAGGAGTAGAGGGACAAGGATGCCTTCAAGTGGTAAAATAAGCAGAAATGTAGGATAATCAGATGTAGTACTGAGCTTCTGATTGCGCATTCTGGGAATGGAAAAATGTCAGCAGCAGTTGGGATAGGAATGGGGGTCACAGATAAAGAAGTTGGGTCTGTGTTTCAACCTGATTCATGAGAAGAGGTTTGGGGATACTCAGAGGCATCACAAATGGGTTTCCCATCTGCAGGCTTGCTTCCTGATCCAGCCTAGAAACAACTCTAAAAAGTGAGCCAACGCCCCTTATCCCTGTCTTGGCAACATGGTTATATCACCGCCACAGAAATAACTACCACCAAAAATACAGACAGATACAGAGTGGAAAAAACTTTGCCCAACCAAGAGGGCAAAGCCACCCTGTGTACCTGGCCAAATATTCACAGTGTGACAAGCTGAGAGAGCAGCCTGTCTGGTGGCCAAATTACATTAATCAGCACTGACCACGCAAAAAGATTTTAGAAGAAAGAAGACCCACCGATCCAGCACCCTGCTGAAGAAATAAACGTGACCAGTGCAGCTGAAGCTCCTGCATCATTCCCCCTCTTTCCCCAAATCCCAGCCCCATCTCAGGTAACACCCAAAATCTATCCCCCAGTGCATATTGTTGTATTTGTGCAACATGGATATGAACGCACAAGCAACCTACGGGACTTTTATGTGGGTTTTTAACATTGTGTAAGTTATATTGCACTTGCTCTTTTATTTGTTCAGAATTTTTCCTTTTTTTAAGACTTTTCATTTATCATTGTAATAGTTTAAAGTGAATAGTTCAGTGGCATTTAGTACATTCAATGTAACAATGTTCCCATTCACCACTACCCTGTTTTAGTAAGCATCCTCTTGCAGTGCATGTGGACGACCGACCCATACAAAATTGCTGATATTTGTTTCTGACCTAGAAAATGGCATTTTCCTATGGCTCAACCTAACAATCCCAGTTCACTTCCTTTCAGTATTTGGTAGTATTCCTTTATGTGACTATATCCCAATTCATCTAACCTCCTATCGATGGATATTTAGGTTGCTTTAATTGTTTCTCTCCCCCCCACACACACACACACACTGCTGCTCTGAAAATGCTCCTCCTCGTCTCCCGATGCATGTACAAGAGTTTCTTTTGGGGCAGAGACCCAGAAATGGAATTGCTAGTTCATACTGTGTGGACATATTCGATGTTTATAGATATTGCCAAGTTGCCCTCTAAGATGATTGTATTGATTTATACTTCTCTGAGCAGCGTAAGAGACGTCCCTTTGCTCCATGTCCTCACCCATACTTGCTACTGATAGGTTTTTAAATGTCGGTATGATGAGTGTGAAATGGTAACTCATAGTGGCTTTAGTTTTGCAATTCTCTGATTCTTCAGCAGATAATGTTCCCATTTGTTTACTGCTCATTTGTATTCCCTTTCTTTTTACCAGTGGTTCGTATTTTTTTTTGCCCATCCAACTGGACTGTTTGATGATTTCATAAATTGTAGGGTATATGTATTTATGTACATTTATATATATTTATATAGCCCTTGTCAGTTATATGATGTGTGGGCACATACCATTCCCCAGTTTGTAGCTTGCTCTTTAGTTTTTCAATGTTGTTTTTGATGTTTTTAAATTGTTTAATGGAGGAGGGGTGTTTCTACTTAAATTCACAAGTGACACATCTGTAGGGGATTAGTAAAGAAAAAGGCGAGTCTTTTTTTAATTTTTATTTATTTATGATAGTCACAGAGAGAGAGATAGAGAGGCAGAGGGAGAAACAGGCTCCATGCACCGGGAGCCCGACGTGGGATTTGATCCCGGGTCTCCAGGATTGCGCCCTGGGCCAAAGGCAGGCACCAAACCGCTGCGCCACCCAGGGATCCTGAAAAAGGCGAGTCTATCCAAGAAATAGCTCTAACCTCTTAGTTTGAGATCATAGAAAATTCTTTCACAAAATTCTGGGCTTAAGGTAGACTGATCCAACTCTGTGTGACATTTTTCATGTTCTTTTGCATATGTTAGGGCTTTGGGTAATCTAGAAAGAGCGAGGGGCGGGAAGAGAAAGTCACAGGCTGTGGCCCAGAGGCAGATACTCTGCACACCATAAAAATGATAAATCCCAAACCATTTATCTTTCAAGTCATTCCAAAGCAACAGTAGGAGAGGAGATGAGTTTGTTGGGATTTTTAGTTCTACATATAAGTTATGGGCCTCAGATTTCACTGTGGCCCAGGCCCTGCTAATGCTGGATAAGGCTGAGCATGGGAGGATGAGATAGGATATGGGGTTAAGAGGGGTGGAGGGTTGTTGTCAGCGTCCAGGCAGATCTCTTCTGATCCATCTGAATCCCGCTCTGCCCACCCAGACTCCATCCCCATCCTCCAGCCAGTTTGGCCAGCTTGCCAGATTGTAGGGGGTTTTGCTTGTAAAGATTCACACTTGTGTGTGAGGGGAAGCACCTGGAAGTTTAAGTTCTCCCACCTGTGGCCACTCTTAGCTGAGGGGAGGGGTGAGGGAGGATGGAAGCTCAGCTTTCTTATTCTCTGTCGAGTGGAGAACTCAAGAGGCCAACTCCCCGCTCTAACGCGCGCCCTCCAGGCCAGGCCCCCTTCCCCAGCTGCTTCCCAGCACCTGCAGGCTCCTCCAGACAGCAGCTCCCCAACAGATCACCTGCACGTGAGTCCTCTCCTGGTCTGATTCGGGAACGGGTGACAGGAGATCTGCATTCAAGGCTTTCAGGTCGGTTTTAGTGTTTGTTTTGAAGGAGGAGAAATTGCAGCATGTTTTGTGTGCTGAGAGTGGTGTCCTCATAGGAGGGCAGGATGGGACCGGCCTGTACAAGAGGAAAGGCGGCTCTTGGGATAAGCACAGACCGGATGGTGCACTCACTGTTGACAGAAAGCAGTAAATAGGGTTAGGGTGCAGGTGGCTCAGGAGATTCAGTGGTGGAAGGTGGAAATCTTTCCTGATTTCTTCCCCTAGTGAAGCCAGTGAGACCATCAACTTAAAGTGAGGAGAGTGGAGGATGATAATAGAGGTCCGCAGAGTTAAAAGAAAGTGTAAAATAGACTGAGAAAGCAGAAGGTGACGGAACCAGGGAAATGTTACAGGATTCCGAGAACCATGAAAGCCTATTTGGTTATTGGTTTTAAATGAGACCGGTCTGCAACACTGTGTATTTGTACACCAGCCTCCACCAGGAATTCTAGGACAAACGTGGGGGTAAGTAGGCATATGGGTGTCCAAGCAGAGCTTGGACTCTGCCCCAAGAGGAGGACTGAGGGAAAGGCAAGGGTGTCAAGGGTAGGTGCAGAGAGTGAGTTGAGTTTAATGATAGGTGGACTCCAGCTGGATAAAGAGGGCGGGAAGAAGTGAGAGGTGGTGTTGACATTGCAAAGATGGCTGACTGGGTCAATGGATGATTGACACTTCAGTGGCACTGAAGGCTGTGGGGGGCAGAGTCCTAGAGAAAGTGAGATGGAATGGCAGGAGGCAGCTGTCAGAAAGAGGCACGTCTGAAACTGAGATGTGGGTGGAGGTACAGACGTTGGTAATGACAGAGGTCACTGGATGCAACACGGGGAGGACGTGGTGGTTAGGCTGATGTAAAGGTGGTGGGAAAAGCTCAGGGACAAATGTAGAGTGAAAAAAATGGGAAAGTGTATGCCAAAATGGAATCATAGATTAATTCACTTTCTTCTTTGTTCTTCTGTTTCCTAAATATTCCACAATGTGCATATATTACTATGTAACCAGAGATTCAAGATCTTGCACAAAGGTCAAAAGGAAAAAAAAATCCCTTTATTGGTCAATTACTATTATTTACAACTACCCAGTCCACAAAGCTCATAAAGTTATTCTCAGGAATTTTCAGGCATCTTCCAGAATCATTTAAAATGAGACCAAATGAGACACACAAGTTTCACATGTACATGCTTTGTTTCAAGAAACACTTACTTTAAAACACATATAAATTTGTATTTGCTGTATTTGCATTTGTATTAAGAAATCCTTGGGGCACCTGGGATGCCCCAAGGCATCAGTGGTTGAGCGGTTTGCCTTTGGCTCAGGCCATGATCCCAGGTCCTGGGATTGAGTCCCACATCAGGCTCCCTGCAAGGAGCCTCCTTCTCCCTCTACCTATGACTCTGCCTCTCTCTCTGTCTCTCATGAAAAAATAAATAAAATCTTTAAAAAAAAAAAAGATTCTGAAATTATCTCTGGGGTGCGGAGGTGGGACGACTGAGCATTTGATGGACAGAAATGCAGGCAAGATCTGAATACCTTTTTGTATTTTCTTCTCTTTGAGCAATGTAAAGAGATTACCTGTACAAAAATAGTGTTAAAAAGTAAAAATTCATACAATTTAAAATTTGTAATAGAAAAATCCTCTTTTAAAACTTCATATATGCAAAACTTACATCACAAAATAGTTGTTTACGGACGCCTGGGTGGCTCAGCAGTTAAGCGTCTGCCTTTGACTCAGGTCGTGATGCTGGGTCCTGGGATCGAGTCCCACATCGGGTTCCCCACAGGGAGTCTGCTTCTCCCTCTGCCTGTTTCTTTGCCTCTCTCTCTCATGAATAAATAAATAAAATCTTTTTTTAAAAAATGGTTGTTTACATAGGCAAATCAGTCTTTAAACAAGGAATTTCCCTGGTACTTTTTTTAAAGATTTTATTTATTTATTCATGAGAGACACACAGAGAGAGAGAAAGAGAGAGAAGCAGAGACACAAGCAGGCTCCATGCAGGGAGCCTGACATGGGACTCGATCCCGGGTCTCCAGGATCACACCCTGGGCTGAAGGCAGCGCTAAACTGATGAGCCACCTGGGCTGCCCTCCCCTAGTACTTTTTAAAAAGGGTTCCATTTTCAGAAATTTAGCTGCTGTTTAAAGATACAAATTAGTGCTACCACAAATGTGATATTCTTAACACATAGTTAAAAGCAAACTGCAGGCTTCTGAGGAAAGCCAGACCCTACCAGAAAGAAAGTTAAATAACTTGTCACAGGCAACAGGTGCTTCCCTGGACGACAGCTACAATTGTTTCGTATGGCTCCAGAGTTCAGAATGAGGGGCGATGGGTTTCAGTAAGAGCTAAGCAGGTTCAAATCACAACAGGGAAAGGGACAATTAAAGCTGTCTCACAGTGAAACCAGGTGGCCAAGACTGCAAAGCAGGAGATATACAGGATTGCAAATCCTCCACTAACAGCTATTGAACTTTAGTGAGCCAGCTGACATTATGAAGGCTGGATCATGGGTTCTCTAGGGTTCTTCCAAGCTCCAAATCCATGACCTTTGGCGAGTGTGAGTTCCCTCCATGGCGAGTTAAGCAAGGATTGAGTGATGGTGGACTAGAAGTCTGTCATGGCTTAAGAGGATGGACTGAAACAAGTTTCAAATAGATTAACCACTGGTACCTGACAACAGATCTGAGGACCTCAGGCCATGAACCCTAATCCATGCTACATTAAAAAGTTCAATATAAAGGTCATCACTTCTTGGAGCACCTGGGTGGCTCAGTAGTTGACCGTCTGCCTTCAGCTCAGATCGTGATCCCAGGATCCTGGGATGGAGTCCCACATTGGGCTCCCCGCAGGGAGCCTGATTCTCCCTCTGCCTATGTCTCTGTGTGTCTCTCATGAATAAATAAATAAAATCTTTAAAAAAAAAAGTTCATCCCTTCTTGTGGGCACCAGGATAGGAGCACAATAGTTGTTTGGCAGTACTCAAATATGAACTGATCATGCAGACGAGCGAGGGCCCACCTCTATGAATGTTTAAGATTATCACTAAAAAAGAACTAAAGCATTTCAGACTACAGGTGGAGGACTCACAGACCCTGAGAATAAATCCATAAGTATCCAAGGACCCAAGAACTCTAGGTTAAGAGTTGACTAAATCAACTTGAGTTGACTTGACTAAATCACTCAGAGTATCTGACCTGGAAGATGTTATGACACAATTCTGGCTCAAAAGTCATCTACAAAATGAGGTAAACTTCTCTTTTGGTCTACCTCTGTGGAGACCTGTGATCATTGATAAAGGGCTGCAGTTCAGTAGCACTCCATTCTGATTGATCAGCAACCACATTGTGCCAGCTGCTTGTATGTTTGCATTACCTGAGCACTGGCTCTAAGAGGAACCCTGGTAATATCAAAACTGCCCACTAGCGTGGTAAGGCCTTGCGGCAGAGGCCAATAGAATCTGTGGTAACTATTATGTCTAATAATAATCGCCACCAGTAATATCACCATAACTGCTAACATTTGCACAGTATGCTTTAAAAAATTTCCATGCCCTCATTTTGTTTGGCAGAAACCAAACTTTTGAGGGGAAAAAAAAAAAAAAAACAGAAAAGAAACAATTAACTACAGCTCTTGTAGGTTGAGCAAAACTAGGAAAAATATATAGAAACCTCACTCAGCCCACACATTTCTTTCATAAATGTCTGGACAGACAATGGCTGTAGCCACCCGCCAAATAGCTGTGATCAAACCACCTCCTGTGTTTCACTCAAAATTTTCATACACACACACACACACACACACACACACGGGACACACATTTACACACTTCATTTAAGAGAAATGACTGAATGCTGGGTGTACTCCTGGTGTCTGCCCAGGCCCATGACTTATAGTCATCAATGTCCAGTGACTCTTAAAGTGCTTGTCGGAGAACCCTGAAAAGAAAGCTCGTGGCAAGTTCCCTGATTCTAGAATTTACCCTTGCACAAGCACCAAATTCCCGTACAACAGAAGTGTGAAACAGACCACAGGACCAGGACTTAAACATCAAACCCCAAATGCTGCTGATGAAGGAGGGTTCCTTAGCAATGTTTTGTCCAGCAGGATTTAGAGCCAAGAGCCAGCCTGCTGCTGCTGGGAACACTGTGGATCAGTCAGGGAAGCAGCAGCCTTTCACTCACAGGACATCAGTGGGAATTTCTAGGATTGATTTGTGGCCAAAATTCAGCTGGAATTAGATGCAAAGGAACTCAAACTCTACAATTTCCATTTTGGTTACTGCCAGAGGCATCTGCCACCTAAAAGTGTATTACATTATGATATATATCTTACATTCCCTTAAATCCTTACCTTAAATAGGTAATATTTTCCTACTTTATAGATAGGCTCAAGAAACAACCTTCTTGCTTTAATGTCTCAGAGTAAGGGAGTCACAGGCAAAAAGGAAACCCTAGGCCTCTACCTCCAGATTCTTTGCTCTTTGCTTTATACTACGTCATCCTTCACTTGCAGAGAAGCACTATGAAATGGCCAAAGGTGATCTGTGATATTTAATTGGGCAAAGACTGTAATCATGAGCTGTTAGCTTTGATTTGTATAAACAATGGTTTTGGAAGATCACCCTGACATATATTAGACTCCTCTCCTCGGTCAAACTACATTCAATTCCATGTAACTACTATATTTAAAAAAAAAACAAAAAAACAAAAAAAAAAACAACTTCTGAATATTTCTCATAGCAAATATACCATAAATTAATTTAACTTGCACATTAATAATTACAAAATCAGGCATCACTGAGAGTTATTTTTCTTCATTCCCTAGATCTTTCACGAGCATCAGCAGATACAAGGAAATGTTCCTAAACCCCTTTTATATCCTCTGACATTCCAGTTTACTCAAGTGGGAAATAAAATCCTGTAAACAATAACTGTCTGGAGGACTGCAGCAAATCAGTTTGCCTCCAGACTGGCCCAGACACTCGGGGGAATGTAGTGGCCCATGTGGCCTCAGCCTTGTCCCCACCCACTGCCAAATACAATGACCCCTTCCTCTGAAACATCAGTGTTCACCTCTTCTCTGTCCCCAGCATGTGACTGGTCACTCCTGGGGGAAAAGCTCCCCACCCACAAGCTCTGCAATGTGCCCCTCATCCTGTGGGCAGGGTGGGGGTGGTCCATCCCCGCCCTGGCCCCCACCCTGCCCCTGCTGTTTTTTGTGCATTTGAAGAGTGTTAAATTATGGAAGCCCCTCAGGACCCTCCTTGTCCCCCAGGACCTCTTATTTATACTAAAGTTCCCTGTTTTCAAAAAAAAAAAAAAATTCTGCATCTGTAAATTAAGGCTTTAAGTTCAGGACTTTCAACCTCCCTCTTTCAGGAACTGAAAAAAATTCCTCTTGAAATTGAAAAAAATAGTAAGTTCACATAAATAAAGATATTCAAAACCTTAATGTAAAAAGTATCAAGGCTTCCATATCGAACCACACCCTCTAAGGCACAGCCCAACAACCGTCTGATTAAGGACTGAACAACATTCCCGGTGAACAGCTTCAGACTCTCTGGCTGCCTCTCTCCTCAATCCTTTGGGCCAGAGGAGCAAGTGTGTTAGGGCAACAAGCAGGGGCTGTTGACCATTGTCAGCACAGTGCAACCACCAAGAGAACTCTTGGCCAAGAGAGACGTGCTATACGGTGCAGACTGAATCCTGATTCGAGCCTCATGTGCAGCCAGCACTACCCATCTGTGTTTCCTTTTCAGATGAAGGAAACAAGATATTCCCTCCTCTGCTTTAGTTGGTTTGACGTGGGTGTTCCGTCTTCGGCATCTGAAAGGTTCTGACCGACACAGGATTTAACCTCAGGTGGTAAAGTCTCTGCTCCCATAGTGGCTCAGTGCGTCTCTTTTCATACAGTCATCCTAGAGCAAGGATGCTCTCGGCCCAAGAGAAACAGTTCCTGCAGGAATATCTCCCTTACACTCAAGTGGTAAGTGCGTGTCATATAGAGCAAATTCTCACCTAAGCAGATGTGCAGAAGAGAAGCCTTAGGAAGGGGAGAGCAGAGGTCAATGAACCAAGCATGATGTCTATCATCATCCAATGTCCAAAACAAAGTCGTGCAGAGGAGACACAGAATGACAACAAGGGGTGTTCATGTAGAAAAGAAATTGAAGCCCAGTTGAGGCTAAAAACAGTGGTTCTTAGAGCTCAAATTAATCTTAAAATGTACCTGCTTCCACCCTTTACTTCAGGGATGCACAAACCAAGACCAGTTGCATTTCTCAGGGTACACAACTCCAGCTAAGACGATAGTCCAAGGCTTCAATAAAGATAGTGTTCTAACATTCAGACTTGTCAAAAAGAAGAAAGAAAAAGAATTTCCTGTGTCAGTAAATAGGGAATTTCCTATTGTTAGGAGGACAGACAGAGGCCAGCTCCCCATCTATCTCTGATTCCTATGACGGGCGGGAGAATGGAATGATGAACCAAGCTTCCTTTCAAGTCAAAGAGTCAAACTGCCTACTACAATAAAAGTTCTTTCTGTGGCACAGGGAATACTAGTTTCTTCCGTAGTGTGTACGCAGGTTGGGGCATTTGTTTCATCGTTCCTTGTTTGTCTGCTTGTTGACTCACATCATTGTTGACGGCAGTGAGGATGGATAAGATATCTTCATGTCTGCAGGCAGATAAGAAAAAAACATGTTCAATCAGGAGACAGCACATCATAGCAAGGAACCCTAAACCATGTGGCTTCTTCCCAGTTTAACAGGCCAAGATTCCCCCTGGAATTCTGCCAAATATAAAGAAATGCTTATGTCAAAATTAAAACAAGAGATGCAAAATCGAATGAAGCTGTTCAGTTCTATATTTAGCATTTAAGAACACTATACCAGCCACATCTTGCATTTTAATTCTTTTTTTTTCTTTTTGTTAAGCAATCTACACTGAATGTGGGGCTTGAACTCATGATCCTGAGATCAAGAGCTTCACACTTGGGGCGCCTGAGTGGCTTAATGGTTGAGCATCTGCCTTTGCCTCAGGTCATGATCCTGGGGTCCTGGGATCGAGTCCCACATCGGGTTTCCTGCAAGGAGCCTGCTTCTCCCTCTGCCTATGTCTCTGCCTTTCTCCCTGTGTCTCTCATGAATAAATAAATAATCTAAAAAATAAGTAAATTAAAAGAGTCTCGTGCTCTTCTGACCTCACATATTGCATTCTAAGGCACTTGATCCACAAAGGATGTTTGCATTTAATTATTTTTTCAAGTTTCTCATCCAAACTGGTGGATAGATGATAGATAGATAGATAGATAGATAGATAGATAGATAGATAGATAGATAGATAGAAAGTAGGTGATAAAGATGGAGAGGGACACTACTATTAATAATTGCCTCTCCATTCTTGGTTTGAGGAGGGATACAAAGATACACATGGCACAGTTCCTGAGCTTAAACACTTCAAATGCAGACATGAAGCATGTACCAAGTATGACATATACACAAAATTCACTAATACAAGGCAGAAGGTCAACACCATATAAAAAGTGGACAAATCCCCTTCTTTTGTGGCCCCCAGAAGGCTCAGTCAGTTAAGCATCTGCCATTGGCTCAGGTCATGATCCCAGGGTCCTGGGATGGAGTCCCACATGAAGCTCCCTGACTGGTGAGTAGTCTACTTAGGTTCCTCTCTACCCCTCTCTCAACCCCTCCCCCTATTTATGCTCTCTCTCATCCCTCTTTCTAATAAATAAATAAAATCTTTAAAAAAAGAGTGGACAAAATTCCATTGTAAGTTCAGAGGAAAAAGAGCACTTCCTGCTGGGAGATGATTCCATAGAGGAGTCTTCTCTATGAGAAGCCTGGGCTTGAGTGATATTTAGCATTTACCAAAATGTTCCAGGAGTAGGCCATTCATATACTTGAGAGCAAAGCACACGCTCTCTGTACATGGAACTCAATTGTGAATCATGCCTGGCTCCATCCCTTGCTGATTGTGCGCCACAGTCACAATTCACTGTGCCTCAATTTTCTAAGCCCTAAAATAAGGACTCTAAGAGTACCCATTTTAGGGACTGCATGAGAAGTAAATGAGATGCTTTATGGAAAACACATAACACTGGTTATCATATTCCCCTGACCATCATTTTTAATCTCATTAGTATTACTACTACTTATCCTCATCATGATTGCTATTTTCAGGTGGGAATGCAAGCCCTGTCTGTTTCTTTGTCCTTGCACCCTGTCTCATACCAGCTGTTCCCTCTGCCACTGGCTCTTCCCAACACTGACTCCTTCCTATCCCTCAGTCTCACTTGAAATATCACCTCTACTAAGAAGTCTTCTCAAGTAGCTCCTTGCCCCATTCTCTGTATTATCTTCTTTGCTTTCTTCATAGCAGGTATCACTTCCTGAAAGTATCTTATTGATTTAAATATTCACTTACATGTCTTTTAAAGATTTATTTATTTGAAGGGGGTGAGGGGAAAAAGGAGAGGGAGTCTTAAGTACACTCCACACTGAGTACAGAGCCCGACTTGGGGCTCAATCCCATGACCCTAAGATTATGCATGACCTGAGCTGAAACCAAGGGTCAGACACTTACCCGAATGTGCCACCCAAGGGCCCCTCACTTACATTTTCATTACCTCTCTTCCTCTCACTGGATGATAAGCTCTATGGAGAAAAGATTCTCTCTCATTCACAACTGTACCCTGAATCCCTAGCTCAGTACCCAGTAGAGTAGGCACATAGTAATAAGTCTTTGATAAATACTGCCTTGTCCCCGAAGTCACAGGACATTGGTCTTTAATGGCTGGGGGGGGGGGGGGGGGAGATGGAGGTATTAGTGAAGAAGAGGGAAAAGCTAAAGTTGATTCAAGATTCCAATCCTGAGTTTCCAATTCTGAAATCCCAGAAGAGCACTGGGACCATTCCTAGAGATGGAGATTCAGGAGTAGGAGGCTGCTGGAGAGAACTAAGTAGATGAATTCAGGACCAGGCTCCAAGGGCAATACAAAGGTGGGATTCCAACAAGCTGCAAGAAACATATAGGACTGACCCAAAGAATGAGATACACCCAGTCAGTCACTGGCCTAACAAATATTTATCAAGCTAACAAGAGATAAGGTCCATGTCAGTGTGAGTATATAAAGCTGAATGAAACAACTCTGCTCTCCAAAAACTCAGAGATTAATGAACCAGAGATGGCAATTTGGGAGACATTTTCACAGAGGTCCAGTGGCTTCCAGGGATAGCTACTGTTGCCAAGACTTATAGAGGACAGAAAATAGGGTCCAGGGCTAAACCATGGTGAAGGCCCATTTCCAGAGTACCAGGTAAGGAGCATGTGGCAGACACAGAAGGAAAAGTTGTCAGAGCAATGGCAGATCAAAGACATAATGCCAAAGACGACACAAGTAATCAGTAAATATGAGTCACTGATAAAGCCACAAATAAAAGGCCCTCCTACCTTTATTCATACTGTTCCCTCTGTCCAGCATGTCTTTCACCCCAATTATTTACCCAACATCTATCTGTCATCTCTAGAAGCTTCCCCTGATCCTTCAAATCTGGGGGAGGTACTAGTTCTATGTGCTTCCACACACCTATGCTTTGGCATGTGTGTTTGCCACAAGGGATGTTCTTCCCCCATCTAGTTTCTCTATCCCTCTAGACTGTGAGCAATTTGAGGTCAGGGACTGTGTTTTTCTTTAAATTCTGTATCTTTCTTTCCAGTTATATGCTGGTGTTCAATACAGGTTTGTTGGGTGGATAGATGTTTGGATGGATGATGGATGAATGGATGGATGGGTAGATAGATGGATGAATGGATGATGGATGAATGGATCGATGGATAGATGAATGCATGGGTGGGTGCATGAATAACTAAACAAACAGGTAGACAGATGGACAGATAAACAGGTAGGTGGATGGGACAAGTCAAAACTCTCACCTTGGGACCAAGCTCTTCAGACGATTACACAGAGACTGAATATACCAGCTGCCTTTCTCCACATGCCGAAAGGATACATAGCCAGGGACAGTGGCCAGGCCAAGAAGGAAATCTGCATCATCGGGAATACTATCCTTAAGGGAAGAGGATACATGCTCAGGATTTACAGCATCTGCTTCAATGGATACAGGAGTTTGTATCTCTTTACCTTGACAGGCCTGGATAAAAAAGAGTTTGGGTTTATGAGCCAGACCAGGGCATTTCTGAGCTGTGAAATGAGACATGATCTCCCGAATGGGAACAAGGGTCCCATCTGAAGAGTAGACAGCTCCAAATTTCCCATGGGTCAAAACACAAAATACAAAGCAATCTCCATCAACATGGTCTGGATGACACTTAAATTCCTGCAGAACCTCGTCCAGATGTCCTTTTGTCACATTTTTATATGTATGTACACTGAACCCAAGCCACTGAAACACACGGCTCAAGCACTCTGTAAAAAAAGGAAAGAAAGGGGAAACAATAAAATGAAATGAAATTGAGTGGAATGAAATAAAATGAAGGGATGAAACAACGTGTAATGCTATTTGCACAGCAAAGAGCCTGAAGCTGATTTTTTACTTTCAAAACCACAAAATTTTACAATTTACCTGCCTTCTTATAGTTACCTATAGTGCTATCACAATGGTCCTGAGAGTCCGCAGAAGCCTGAGTTTCATCCTATTTCACAGATAAGGAAGCCAAGGCCCCAGAACTCTCCCACAGTCACAAATTAGTCAGCGGTGGAACCAGAGCTCAAATGTAGTTTTTCTCTAGCTGATGTGCTATGCTTTCCCCAAAAACCAAAAACCATGGAGTTGTAAATGGTCAGGGACTCTTGTCACTCAACAGGTTGGTGACACCTCTTCTATGGTCTAAATGTTTGTGTCCCATGAAAAGATGTTCAACATCATTCGTCATCAGGGAAATACAAATCAAAACCACAATGAGATACCACCTCATACCTGTCAGAATGGCTAAAATTAACAACACAAAAACAAGAGGGATGGGGAAAATGGGGAACCCTCATACACTGTTGGTGGGAATGCAAATCAGTGCAGCCACTCTCTCCAGAGAGAGTATGGAGGTTCCTCAAAATGTTAAAAATAGAGCTACCTAATGGTCCAAGAATTGCACTACCAGGTATTTACCCAAAGGATACAAAAATACAGATCCGAAGGGATACATGTACCCAATGTTTATAGCAGCATTATCAATATTAGCCAACTATGGAGAGGACCCAAATGTCTGCTGACTAATGAACAGATAAAGAAGATGGAGTGGGGTGTGTACACACACACACACACACACACACACACAGCATGGAATATTATTTATCTAACAAAAACAATGAAATATTACCATTTGCAACAACATGGATGGAGTTGGAGTGTATTATGCTAAGTGAAATAAGTCAGAGAAAGACAAATACCATAAGATCTTACTCATATGTGGAATTTTTTTCATATGTGGAATTTAAGAAAACAGATGAACATATGGGAAGGGGAGAAAGAAAAAAGGGAGAGGGAAACAAGTCATAAGACACTTTTAATGCTAGAGAGCAAAAAAAAAAACAAAACAAAACAAAACAAAAACCAGAAAACAAAAAATGCTAGAGAGCAAACTAAGAGTTGATGGAGGAAAATGGGTGGGGGATGGGCCAGATGAGTGATGCATATTAAAGAGGGCACTTGTGATGAGCACTGGCTGTTGTATGCAAGTGGTGAACCACTAAATCCTACTCCAGAAACCAATATTGCACTGTATGTTAACCACCTAAAATTTAAATTAAAAAAAAAAAGCTGTGTCCCCTCAAAATTCATATGTTGAAATCCTAACACCCAAAGTTAGAGAATGAGGAAGTGGGACCTATGTGGGGTGATTAAGTTGTGAGGCAGAGCCTATAGGGAGACCCCAGAAACCTCCCTCACCCCCTCTGCCAAGTGAGGTTGCAGCACAAAGGCTGCCATCTAGGAAGTAGGTTGTCACCAGGCATCAGAATGTCAGAGCCTAGATCTTGGACTTCCCAGCCTCCAGAACCATCAGAAATAAGTGTTTGTCATTTATAAGCCATCTAATTTATGTTATTTCATTATAGCAGCCCGGGTGGACTAAGACACCAGGGACTCCCAAGAGGCCAGAAGCATTTATGACAGCATTGTTACATTTGAATGGAAGATTAAAATTATAGAAAGAAAATGTAAAAATGAAAAAGTGATTTTAAGATCTCCAACTTGCATTTGATATACTATTCCAGATTTTCTTACCAGCATCTTTATCAGTCCCCGGTCTATCTGGCATTTTGGCAAATGTATGGTTATTGACAATAACACAATGGCCTCTGTGTTTCCGATCCATCCTGTACACATTTGCCTCCTTGAAAGAAGAAAAGATAGAACCACTTATTAGGGAATCCTCATTTTAAGGGTTTAATGTTTGTAACCAACCACTCCATTTATCAGTACCAATGGCTGAGACTTCCTAAGATTCAGGTACTGGCCTGGAATTCATCAATTAAGTCTAATGTGGAATGCCAGGTACTGATTGATTAAATATCAGACTTCATTTGGTTTGACTGCAGACTGTCGATTAGCAGTGCCAAGTAACAAAATATGTATTTTAACTTTGGCAAATCAAGAGCTTATGCAAAAGTATCTTCTTTTTTGGATGAGCAAGGTGAAGAAAGCATTAAGTAAGGATCTAATGAGACAAATATATCAAATGCTTATCACTTTTCAGATGGTAAGGTCCTGGAATGATCTGACTACCCTGAAAACAGAAATCTCTTTTGTAGAAATCACAGCAAGAATTTTAAAATACATGCAATTATTTTTGAAGGCTACTGTAAACAACATGTGATTACAAATAAGCTGAGTTGGCTTCAGTGGGGCCTCTGTGTGGCTACATGATCTCTTAAAAACACAGTATATCTTTGATTCAAGTAGAAAAGAAGTGGCTTCAGTCAATAGAAAAGAAAACTGTACCCAGAAATAATTTAAAGGCTCTGTGTGGCTATAATAATGCCAGCACTGCCTCCACAGCCAAAGGTCAACACACTTCTGATTGTTTCAGAAAAAGGTGGGAAGGACTGAGATAATCCCAGAGAGAGGAAGAAGAATCACAGAAACAAATTGCTCTGAACCCTCAAAGTCATTCAGGGATGGACCTTAGCTGGAGAAGATCTGAAGAAACTGTCTAAACTTTTGTGCTGGTTTCAGAAGTTAGAGGGCCAGTGGATGCTTCCAGCATTGCCACAGAGACCAGGGTTGCTCCATCGCCTAGAAAGAGAAGTTCTCAGACTCTTCCAATATATGTCCCCCAAATTCTTATTTCCTTACAGAGGATGGTTTGCAAGTCAAGATCCCATGAGACCGCTCAAGTGTTTCTGGCAGAGAGCTTGGGAGGGCTTTGGCAGCATTTATCTGTTACTGGATATAGAGTGGCCGGGTGAATACCAAGAAACAAAGAGGGGAAAAAAGGGAAGCCCAGAGACCCAATCTGGGCAGGGCAAAAATCAGTCCCCAGCCCCAGTCACATCTCTGGCCCTGGCTAAGGGTTGCACTGCTCTGACATGTTTGGTTTATGAACTCCTTGGTTCCTCTAAATAAGAATCCACCACAGAGATGAAGCCACTGATGGGTTGTCACATGACAGTACAGGAAAATGAAACTTGAAGCTTTTCTTCTCCCACACCCAGCAAGTTTTCAGTAGAATCCAACAAGCTGTGCCCTTGTCTCTGAGGCCAGAGTCAATTATTAACTATAGTTAAGGGTGAGCCCTGGGTGCATAGCTCAGGCTGAGTGAATCCAGTATCCCCAGGCCATAGAAAACACCAAAAGGGAGCCAAACCGCAGTTCTACAGAGCCCCTGTAAATTCCTCCTCTCTTTAGGAGACGATAATGTTCCAGGGAAGTCATCTCCAAACTTCCAAACCACAGAATTGCAAAACTAAAAGAAACTTACTGTTCAGAGAAGTGAAACCATTGCCTGAGCTCCTGGAGCTATACAGTGGTAGAGCAAGGGTCTTTGGAGGGGGGAGCTTGGAGTCAGACTGCTGGGTTCAGATCACAGCTTCACTCCTTTCTAGTCACGTGACCCTTCAGGAAAGTACTTGACCTCTTGAGTCTCCACTTCCTCATCATTAAGTGAGCCTAATCTCCAGGTGACTGAAGGGTTCAATGAGATAAGCCCTAGAAAGCTCAAAGAACAGTGCCTGGCACACAACTGCTCAGTAACGGTAACTCTCATCAACGTTGTATCGTGCTATCCCCTACTTAGGCAGAAAGCAGAGATTCCGGAAAGCAAAGTGTTTGGACTCCGAAGTATAAATTTCCAGGGGGAAAAAAAAAACAGTAAGACTGGCCTCTGCTAAACTATGTTTCACAGAGAGACTATACCAAAAACCTGTCCATAAGCCACTCAGCCCTGTAACAGACTCTGGAATATTTTCCTCAAGTCATGGTTTTGGGGCAAGGATTCTGGGCACTAAACATACCAAGTTTATGTCAAGGGACAATGTCAAGGGACAATGCCAAGTCCCTCCCTCTGGCCTCCCCCACTCTGAAAAATACAAGCACCATCTGGAGCCACACCACGCCAGATGTTCCCACAGAGTCAGCATTTGGCTCTGTCATGCTGGCCTATGGATTTTGGCCCTACCAAGGGTTCCCATCACTCCTTACAGAGCAGGATCTAAGTCTGAAGAGTAGAGGGAGAGAAGTTGCCTGCATTCCCCAGACGCTGTTGTGCACAGCGTCTGAGTAGAAACCACTGAGCCCTCTATATCCTCCCAGAGAAAAGCCTGGTATAATCCAAGCCTGAATTGAGAAAAGAGATGAATTCTCCAGGAATTTGTTAACCTTCTCCCAAGTCACCTCAAATTGCTTAGTATATATCAGATGTTTCTATTCCTGCCATACTGATCCAAGTTAGGTAATAAAGTGTATGTATTGGAAGCATCTACCACTACCCCCTACGGGCTGATCTTGCCAGGCACCCTTCTGTTGAGGAAACAGGAAATGAATGAAATGCAAGGAATTCATAGAGTTAGGATGAGGCCCAAAAAGGTGGACTTGATGCAGAGGAGTGACACTTTATCCCCAGCCATACAAAAGGCCAGCAGTGGGTGACTAAAAGAGAATCAACTCTCTCCTTTCAAAGGAGTAAGTTCACAAAGACACAGTGACAAAAATATAATATGACACATGCACAAGGATATCCATTCATTGCATTATTTGGAATAACTAAAGACTAGAAATCATCCTGATGCCCACCGATAGGAAGTGCATGAAAGAGCTGTGGTACACCCATGCAGGGCCACAGGATGCAGAGGACAATTTCTGTACACTTCTCTGCATTATACTGTTACATGAAGGAAGTAAAGTGAAGAATAGTGTTTTAATGGGCTGCCTCTTTGATAATAAAGGGGGGACATGGTTGGGTTTTTTTTTTTTCAAAAGTAACAATAGGATAAATAAAAAATAAACTCATAAAAACTGCAGTCTATGGTGGGGGAGGGAAAGAGAGGCAGGAATGTAAAGTAGTCCCCTCTGAGTATACTCTCTTGATAGTTTTTACTTCAGTCCTACATGAACATTCTATACCATTAAATACAAAATTAAAACCTAGCCTAGGGCCTCATCTTTTGTGCATGATTCCCCCCCGCCCCCCCGCCATTCACTCCACCCCCACACCCCTTACCCTCAGCCTGCAACAGAAAGCCCCAAAGGTGTTCTGGTCAGGGGCTAACCCTGCCACTGTCTACGTGGTGGACAGCACCAGGAGACCTGTTTGAGGTGACTGGTAAGTTCCCAAGTCTCTAGGGATGCCTCCCTGCTAGAGCACTCCGGGCTTCTGGTGGCATGAGGGGGGCCTATCTTCAAGCCAGACCAAAGCTGCAGCACCTCACTCCCAGGCTGCACAATATACGAATTCCCCAACTTTGAAGAAACAAATGCAAAAGAATTTCAGTTTCACTCTCCAGAACACTTCCGGCTATTCTTTCCCCAAGCTACCTTTTCCTTCCTGGAAAATGCTTGTTTCTTTTGGCAACATGCAAGGGCCAGGCAAGCTGTTTTCTGGGTTTGTCCAGTTAGTTCTGAAAGTAGTCAAAATTTAAAGGGTATTAAAGGTAACACAGATGCAGGCTCTGCCCCAGGTCAGGTGTCCAACAAAGCTTTAAAAGGAAGTTGTTGTTACATCTCCTCAATAGACGTGCTTCTCCTTAAGAAAATCCTATGCCACACTCAGAAACATTGATTTGGTTTTTAATGTTAAATTAAATAATTAGGGGATATTACTTGAAAAAGAGTTTCTTCTCATAAATGCAATGGTTGGCAGCGCTCTTTTACATAAGAAAACTTGTCAGGTGCAAATGAAAGATGGTATGATTTACCAAGTTTCATTTTATTCAGGGACAGGATTGCTTAGATTACTATTAAGAAAGACACCTTTCAACCCTGAGAGTCTAGGAGAAGGTATATAATTTGAGGTGCTGCCTCCCAGAGCCTCCTATACTCTCAGATACCCCCATCTTCATCAGGCCATGGCCAGAGTCCAAAGTCAGCAAAACAACTGCATTTCAGATACCAAGGTTGAGCCACACCCCTTAGAAACTACTGAATTTCTACGGCAAAGAGTAAAGTCCTGTGTGTGTGTGTGTGTGTGTGTGTGTGTGTGCATTTTCTACATGCACATAAGTATCTGAGCATATAAAAAACTAGTTTAAAAAGTGAGTGGGGAAAAAAAGTGAGTGGGGAGAAGAATTAGGAATAATGGACAAAAAAAAAAAACTCTGGGGGGAGGAAGGAGGGCTCTTGTATAGAGCGGAATGCTGAGTGCTGACTTATAAATGTGGAGAAAATCCTGGAGTTTGAAAATCATTGCTTTTCAACGAACATAGTAAATATTGAATCACATTAGAATCATCAGTGCATACCCATCGATCTAGGGGAAATTCTTGATACAGAGTGGGATATTTGTATGGTCTTAAAATATCTCCCCACCTCTTGCTTATTAGTTGCAAGGGAAAAATAGTAACTATACAAAACTAACTGTAGAGTGAAGAAATGAGACATCTTCATCAAATAATCAAAATCACCATCACAAATGGGGGACAGATGGACACCACTGCCTCCAGATGTGATGCCCTGAGAAGGGTACATAATTTAGGTAATATTCTAGTGAGAACACATTGCTTGAAATAAATCATAAGCAACACCAGATACCAAAAATGAGGAAAATTCTGTTTTTTTAAAATAAAAGATGGTAGTGAGGGTGATTGTATTCTTCAAAAATGTCAATGTCAAAAAGAAAAGTTATAGAAATGTTTAAAATTAGGGGAAACTAAAGAGACATGATAATACAATAATGATCCCAGATGAATTATGTATTGGAGGGGAAAAAAAGCTATACAGAATATTACTAGATCAACAGACAAAATTGAAATGTTAGAACTTCAACTTGGTGAAAGTATTGTATTAAGTAAACTTGACTAGCATCAATAACTGTACTATATATAGTTGTGTAAAACAGTATCTTAATCCTTAGGAAATACACAGTAAAGTATTCAGCAGTAAAGAGCCATGATGTGTGCAAGCTACTTTCAAAAAGTTCAGAAAAAAAAATTGTGTTTACATAAATAGATGATAGAGAAAGATAGAGAAAGCACACAAATGTTAACACAAATGGGGTAAAAGTAAACAACAGGTAGGTGAATCTAATAAAATAGTATACAGGGATCCCTGGGTGGCGCAGCGGTTTAGCGCCTGCCTTTGGCCCAGGGCGCGATCCTGGAGACCCGGAATCGAATCCCACGTCAGGCTCCCGGTGCATGGAGCCTGCTTCTCCCTCTGCCTAGGTCTCTGCCTCTCTCTCTCTGACTATCATAAATAAATAAAAATTTAAAAAAAAAATATTTAAAAAAAAATAAAATAAAATAGTATACAGTGTTCTTAGTATTATTCACATTCTTTCAACTTTTCTATAGATTGAAATTATTTTCAATGTAAAGATTAAAAAATGGTAAATGTAAAAAATATGAAATCATGAAAGTAGTAAAGAAGCTATCAAAGAATTTTTTAAGAATAAAAAATAAAACTTCCACAACAACCCAATTAAAAAATTGGCAAAGGACTTGAATAGACAATTCTCCAAGAAAGATAATACAAATGGCCAACAAACACATGTAAAGATGCTCAATATCACTAATCATTAAGGAAAGGCATATCAAAACTACCATGAAATACCATCTCACACCGATTAGGATGGCTACTATCAAAAAACAAGAAAATAGCAAGTGTTGACAAGGATGTGGAGAAACTGGAATTCTCATGCATTACTGGCAGAAATGCAAAGATGCAGCTGCTATGAAAACCAGTATGGAGGTTCCTCAAAAAATGAAATACAGAATTACCATATGATCCAGCAATTCCACTTCTGGGTACATATACCCACAAGAATTGAAAGCACTACCTCAAAGAGAGATTTGTATGCCCATGTTCATAGCAGTATTATTCACAATAGCCAAAGATGGAAGCAACTCACATGCCCACTGAAGGACAAATGTATAAACAAAATATGGTATATACACACAATGAAATACTTATTCAGCCTTAAAAAGATAGAAAATTCTGACACAGATAAACCTTGAGGACATTATATTAAGTACAATAAGCCAGTCACAAAAATACAAATACTCTATGAATCCACTAATACGAGGTAACTAGAGTAGTCAAATTTATAGAGATATAAAGTAGAATGGTGTTCACCAGGGGCTGGTGGGAGGGGGGAATAGGTAGTTACTATTTAATAGATATAACATTTCAGTTTTGCAAGATAAAAAGAGTTCTGGACATTGGCTACACAACAATGTACATTTAAAAATAATTAAGATGATAAATTTTATGTTGGCTTTTACCACAATTAAAAACAAAAACCAAAAAATTCCAAGGCCAAAATAACTTCATTGATACTGATAGCTGTTAGCAGGATAAAACTGCCCAAATTTGCTGGGAAGAAACATAAATCCCAGAGAAGAATGTCACAGGTATCTCTCAAAGATCCTGATCATGTTATAAGATACAGATGGCAAATCTCCCAGTGTTTCCCCTGTACCCACCCTTCTACTGCTGGGCACTACAGGAACCCAAATCTTGTCCTCTGGAAAGGACAGGCTACATAATTTGTGGTGCTCCATACAAGATGTGAGGCCCCCTGTTCAAACATTATTAAGAATTTTTAAAAAGTGACAGCTAAGCATTAAAAAAAGCATGGGTCAGGTAGGAATACACAGCCTATTATGCTTAGGAAGTTGGCCTTGATCAGATTGCATAAGAACAGAACCACTTCAAAGCAACCCAGTGGTGTACTGGAGTCAATTCGAACCAGCTAGTGAGAGCCATTTGTCAGATTTCCAGAAATTCTATAATTAAATTGATGTCATGTTGGTACATGAAATCAACTATGGTGGGAACATTTATACCAAACACTACACATCAGGGTCTCTCTCTCTTTTTCTTTGGGGGTAGTGTTGAGGGTGGAGAGAAGAGCTGGTGGTAAAACATTTACCAACCCATCAATGAACCTACCGATAAGGCTCCATGGAACTGATTAATGTCTGAAGGGGAAAATAGTTCTTCCTCTTTTTGATGCAATGACTCCGTTTCCGTGTCTACAGGAGGTGTTGCTACCTCGGAGGCTGCAAATAGAACCATGGATAGTAAAACAAAAATCATCTTCTAACTAGTAGCAATCCAAGATAACCAATCATCAAAAGAAATTATTTTACAAGGACCTGTAGATTTATAGTGCCATTTGCTTAAAGAAAAAAAATGTGAACTTATAAATTGTTTTTCTTTATCATTCTATTCTCATTCCTTTTATTATTATATTTTATTTCTGATTGTTTATGTTTTTATTATTTTTGTCATTTCGTTAGTTCCTTAAGATTACTATATACTTTCCTAAATACTATTTCAGAACTTATGGTATTTAAACATGTCAGATAACGGCCAAGTAGAAATTACAAAAGCATTACCTCCAAAAACAAATCAGAACTCAGACTATAGCAAAAAAGGTAAAGGAAAGAAGAAAGAAAAGAAAAAACCATTCGAGAAAAACATTCAAAAGTGGTGATTAAATAAATATTTTATGTACATAAGACACATTTCTATAGAACCATTAATAAAAAGAGCTATGTCTGTATTATGTACATGGAGAAATGTGAGATGCATTAAGTGGGACTAAAGCAAGTTATAGAATATGATTAGCATGATTTTAGTTAAATATATATTTATCTAGCTATCTACACACATATACATACAAATTGTCTGTATATTCTCCAAACAGTGCAAACAGTGATTATCTCTAGGGAATGGGCTGGCAGTAAATAAACCTTCTTTGAATTTTTATTTTTGGGGCACCTGGGTGGCTCAGTGGTTGAGCGTCTGCCTTTGGCTCAGAGTGTGATCCCAGGGTCCTAGAATCAAGTCCTGCATCGGGCTCCTGCACGGAGCCTGCTTCTCCCTCTGTCTCTGCATCTTTCTCTGTGTCTCTCATGAATAAATAAAATATTTTTAAAAATTTGTTTTTAATTAAGATACATTATCTTTAATAAGAAATTTAAAATAGTAAAGCAAACATCAAGGCTCAAGAAAATTCAGAAAGCTATCCTAGTGGTCCCCAAATACAGCTTGTGTCCTAATCAGATACAATGGACTTTGACTTTGCATCACATTCACTTGTAGAAAAGTCCAAAATCTGCCTACCTACTATCTTTTCAGTCTTTTAGTCCTTCATCCTAAATGGCAGAAATATACACAAGCTCTTAAACCTATACTAAAGTTAATACTGAAATATTGATATCTGATAAATATATATATGCACATATATATTTGGTCTTGCCCTCTTTTTCCTGGCACAGAGTTCCTAAAACTCTTGGAATCTCTGAACTGCTAGAGTGTCTCTTGCTAATAAGATGTTAATGAGATGACTGGTAATTGGGGCTCCTGGGTAGCTTCTGGAGGGAGGCAGTGTGCCAGAGGAATAAACCTGTGGTCAGAGAGTTGGAACTTTCAACCCCATACTCAGACCTCTGGGAAGGGGAGAAGAGCCAGAGCTTGAATTAATCATGATGGTCAATGATTTAAATCAATCGTGCCTACATATGAAGCTTCCATATAGAACTCTAACTGAAGGGGCTTGGAGAGCTTCCGGGTTGGTAAATATGTGAAGGTGCAGGGGAGGTGAGCTGCCTGGAGAGGGCCTGGAAGCCTTATGCCCCTTCCCTCATACCTTGCCCTATGCATTTCTTATATTTGGCTGTTGCTGAGTCAAATCTTTTTATAATAAACAAGTAATCTAGTAAGTAAACTGTTTTCCTGAGTTCTATGAGTTGTTCTAGCAAATTACTGAACTGAGGACAGGGTCATGGGAACCCTCAGTTTATAGCCAAATGGGACAGAAGCCATGGGTATTCTGGGGACCCATTAATTTGCGACTGGTGTCTGAAGTAGGGGGCAGTCTTAGGGCATTGAGCCCTTAACCTAATTGAGTTAAGGTCTGTGCTAACTCTGGTTAGTGTCAGAATTGAATTAAATCATTAGATACCCTGATGGTATCTGTAGAGAATTAGAAAATTACTTGGTATGGAAAAATCCTACCCATCTATGTCAGAAATGTTCCAGAAGTGTTGGTGTGATAGGAGCAGAGGACAAGTTTGTTTGTTTGTTTTCTTTTGATATCCAAAAGAGATCAACCAGCAGGTAGGTTGTAAAAAAGAAAAATCAAAATTAGAATTCTTCTGATATAAAGCTCACGTCTTAAGACTCACTGAGCCATTTACTACATAAACATTAGAGTACCTTCTCCAGAGTTCAACTACCCAGAACAATCTGACCACCTGCCTGTTTATTTTGTGTGGGGTACTAACTACAGGAAAATGGGAATGTAATCAGAAAAAAAAAAATCTTATCATTCAGAGCTCAGGGAGGATTCCAAAAGTACTTTTGATATCAACTCCCAGCTTTTTATTTCTCATTTGATAACTTAGGTTAGAAGAAACATTTTATTCTTCATAACTTATACTTAAATTATGCATTTATTCATTACTTTAGTTATTTTGGGGGATTTTAGCAATTTAACAACAGTGTGTTTTGTTCCTCAACACATTTTGTATTTATAGAATTCTTAGAGAGAAGTTTCCTTTTAGATAGTTTCGTTTTTAACCAAAGACATTTGCACACCAGATTGACTCCCTGAATTAAAATATGGGTATGACATAATTCATGAATATACTCATGCATTTCTATTTCTGGAGAAAAATAACCTGGAAAAACACAAACTTAGTCTATTGATAAATAGTAAGCAAATCATCCAGGTGTTATTTCCATCCTCTGCTATACCTCTAGCATTACTATATTTACAAGACACAATTAAAAAAACAAACAAGGAAATAAAATTCTTCTTCCTCGTACTAATTCTAAGAATATGAAAGTTTTCATGACTTTCTGACAAACATATTTGTAGCAACATGTTTTATTCTATGCTAGACATGTATTTTTTTAGGAATTACTTCATTTGACCCTCAAAACACCCACGAGGTATGTACTATTATTATCTCCATTTTATGGGTGAGGAAAGTGAAACAGAAAGGCTAAGAAAAGAACCACTGCCCCATTAATAAGTGGAGTCCTGGTAATCTGACTCGCTAGACCTCATTCTTAATCCCCATGCTACCCCACCTCCTTCATTATTTCACTCAAAACAATTTTCTATCTCTCCCCTCCTATAAAAATGAGAAAAAGACATTTATCTTTTTTTAAAGACATTTATCTAAAACTACTTTTCTTCACTAGAATATAAGCTCCAAGATAGCAGGAGCTTTGCTCTATACATCTTCTAGGCACCTTCTAAAACTGTGCCTAGTTCCGAGTATGCATTCATAAATAGGTCTTGAATGAATAGATAGGGAGAGAGTTCTGGCTTTCCCAAGGGAATATTATCAGAGTGATGAGTAAACATCATATACCACCAATTAGTTTAAGAATTTCATGGTCTTGTGCAAGCAAATAAGTGTAAGCTACTTACCTTTCTCTCTTTTGTATCTTTCAATCTTTCTTATAAGGTTAGGTACAACTTTTCTACAGAGATCCTCCAGTAACCCCAGATTATCCTCATCTATTAGAGCTTGTTTCTCCAAATATGCCAGGAAACTTAGAGGGGTCTGCAAGAGAATCAATGGAGTCACATTTACTTGCCTTCTGATGATCCATTCATTCTTTAAACATTACTTGCATGGTCTCTAGTCACCAAGTCTCACAATGATGAAAAAGGTACAGTGTTTGTCCCTGAGAAGTTCAATATATGGGGGAAGAGGCATTGCTAAGTAAATTATCTATATTAATAACAAATACCAAATATACATAACTCACTATATACCAGGCATTACTTGCTATATATTACCTCAAAAACAAGCCAATAAAGCTAGATACTATTATAACCCCCATTTTAAAGATGAAATTACTGGAGTTCAACAACTTGTCCAAACTCACAGAGCCAATAAGTGGCAGAGCTGGTATTTGAACCCTGGCAGTCTGATGTCAAAGGCTCTCTTATTAATATATTGAGCTATACGCCCTCTCACTCACATCTGTAAATGACATAATTAGATTAGGGCAGCAGCAAAACAGAGAGACCAAAGATACAAAGGGTAAATATTTAGTATTTTAAAAGAAAAAAATTCTTAAATGCTGCTGGGAAAAATAGCAAATTGGCTAGTATTATTTTAATATTGAATTACATGCAGGGTGGAAGGCACCATAATCTTTTCAGTGAATAGCACTTCTCAGTGTATTAAGCTAGTTATGAGAAAATATATATGAACAAACTTACATCAGAGCCCACAGAAAAGAGTAACTCATCAATAGTGAACTTCTGAACACTACTATCTCATTGCACACATAAGCATCAGCTAGGTGGGACCTGGGGCAAGTTCTCCAGACATATTGAAAGGCTGAACAGATAGATAAAAAGGGAAAGTGTGTTCAGAAACACTGAGAAAGAGGCTTGAGTACAAATAATGAATAAGAGCCAGGTCATGGCTAGAACGGTGGGCTGGTATCAGATGTGCAGGAACGCACGGTATGTGAGGAGTTTGAGCATGTCTCCCATGCATAAGGAGTGTCCGCAGAAGTTTTTAAGGAGAACAGTAACATAAACACATGCGGTTTTGAGTAGGAGTCTTCAAATTGGGGGAGGAAGCAGATTAGAGAGAAAATATTGGCAGTAAGATTAAATACTCTGGCAAAGAGATGATCAAGACCTGGTCTAAAGCCAGTGGTGGAAACACAGAGGCGGCACTGGATTTGAGAAACATTTTTGAAATAGAATTTGGTGACTTGTAGAGATCAACTGGAAGTGAAAAAATGAAGGAAGAATCAAAAATTACTTTCAATGGTGATACCACTCAATTATTCATCATTCATCTATGGCACATAGCCGGCTTCACACAAGCTGCACATGGGAGGGGATTCTTGAAGGATGACAGGTCTCATTGCCAACATGGAAAAGGACAAGCCACGTGGAGAAATGATGTGAAACTAAAAATCTGGTTATGAGGATGTTCATGCTGGCTTCAGTAAGAACAGTTTCACTGGGGACGCCTAGATGGCTCAGCCAGTTAAGCGTCTGCCTTCGACTCACGTCATGATCCCAGGGTCCTGGAATTGAGCCCTGGCATTGGGCTCCCTGCTCCCTGCTTCTCCCTCTCCCTCTGCTGCTCCCCCTGCTTGTGGTCTCTTGCTCGCTCTTTCTCTCAAATAAACAAATAAAATATTAAAAAAAAATAGTTTCATTGAAATGATGGAAGTCGAAGTCATATCGAAATGCATTGAAACGTGACCCAGATTTGAGTTAGTGGAGAAAGAGTGTACACAAACTATTCTTTCAAGAAGTTTGGCAGTAGAGGGAAGGAGGGAGACAGCAATAACATTAGGATGAGGAAGGGTTAGTGTATGTGCATGTGTGTATTTTCAAACAAGTTACTAAAGATGGCAACAACTGGCGTGCCTTGGTGGATCAGCCGGTTAAGTGTCTGCCTTCAGCTCAGATCATGATCCTGGGGTCCTGGGATGGAGCCCCGTGTCCGGCTCTCTGCTCAGTGGAGAACCTGCTTCTCCTTCTCCCCTCTGTTTGTGCGCTCTCTCATTATCTCTCTCTCAAGATGGCAGCAACTAAGGGAAAGGCCAGAGTTACAAAATCTTACTTGATTTCTGTTCTCATCTGGTCAAAGAGAAATTACAATTTTTTTAAAGATTTTTATTTTTAAGTAACCTCTACACCCAACATGTGGCTTGAACTCAAAACCTGAAGATCAAGAGTCACATGTTCCACCAACTAAGCCAGCCAGGCACTCTTAAGATATTATAATTTTTTAAGAAATTCCAGAGACAGGGAGAAGAACCAAAAAGACAAAGAAAACTCTGTGTCTCCAAGTGCAGCCCTAGCACACCAATAGCTTGGCCAGGGAATAAAGGCAGGAGAGAAGAGGGGGTGCAGAAAGATTCATCCAGAGCTGATCAGCTGGGCAAAGGGGTCCACCACACAAAGTTCTGCTGTAGGTCACAAGCAAATGAGCTATCTCTGAACCTTAAAACAGAAACACTATTTTTGACAGCATCCTACCAGGAGGAAGAAAATTCTAGAAGCAATGGTGCAAATTCTTCATACTTTGAAGAAAGTTTATGAGATGTTTGGAAAATAACACCTTCTACACACACACACACACACACACACACACACACACTCGAAATGGAGTCTGTACTTTAAGAACGCCACTCAGTCAATACTAGCAGGAAGTGTATGAAAGCGCTCGTTCTGCTTCTATGCTAAGCTAGTAGATCTGGGTGTGGTTTCCTTTACATTCAACGTTCATTTGCTACCCAGAGAACAGATTTCCGGACTATTGTTGGGTCTCTCAGGATGTGTGAAGGCAGCTATATTGCTATGAACTTGTATGAAAGTTATCAAAAAGGAATCTTAGAACACCCTACAAAGATCTTTTTTTTTAAAATATTTTATTTATTCATGAGAGACACAGAGACAGAGAGGCAGAGACACAGGCAGAGAGAGAGAGGCAGGCTCCATGCAGCGAGCCCGATGTGGGACTGGATCCAGAGACTCCAGGACCACGCCCTGGGCCGAAGGCAGGCGCTAAACTTCTGAGCCATCGAAGAATCCCCCAAGTTCATTTTTTTTTTTAACTCAAGAGAGACCATGTGAATTTAGAACCTTTTGTTTTTGACTGAGGGAAGTTCAGGCCCTCCCCACCTGGCTGCTATATAATTTATTTCTGCGACAAAATCTTTTGCAATTACAATAGCAGATAATGCAGCCTTATTAAGCCCTGGCGTGGATACTCATCTGCGTTGCTTAGAGATGGTCCTTTACACATTTCAAGAAGGCTAGCCTGATCACAAGATCCAGTAGAGATTATCTGGATTATCTATAGTATATAAACTCAGCCACAATTCTCACACAAAGAAATAGATCTCCTTCAGAATCAAAAGCTGAGATCATTTGGAACCCAAGAAGTAGTGTGCTTTTTCTGAATCCCACAGTTTTTATGCCACAGTGAAATACAGCAATAGCTCCCTTTACTATTGTACTGAATGAGAAAAAGCATACAATCGTTTGGCTACCTGAGCATGGGCCTTCAATGACCTAAAAGCTAATTTAGCAGGGGGTAAAATGTTTGGAATTCTTCTGGCCACAAACCGTGGATGCCTGCAGGTTAAGGTCTAAGACCCATGGAGGAAAAGTATAGGAAGAAACACATTTCCCAGTTTTTCCTAGTAGAAAATCGTGATGTGGTGTGGAGCATATCAGGGACCCCTGGCCGTCTCCTCATCCTCCACCCTCTGGTGGGGAGTGAGAACTTCTGCTCATGACATAGGAAGGGGCATAAAGGTATAACCACAGAGAGTAGTTTCATTTTATTTATAAACCCAGAGACCAGAGAAATTGTGAGAGGATGCTTCACGCTGGGAGAGAATATTATTAGAATAACCTGGAGAGCTTTTCAAATGACAGGAAATCTCTTGTAAGGTTGAGTCATTTGGCATCTGAATGGAGCTGCTAGTTTGCAGGAGCCTGAGGAGTGTGTTGAAATGTACCGAGCACACATAATCAGCAAAAGTCAAACTGGGGAAAATTCTATCTGCCAATCATCCCGGGGTTCTTCAACAGATAAATTTTTTTTCAACAGATAAATTTTAAGAAAAAGAAAGGGAAGGATTAAAGGGACAGGAGTTTAACCTGTAGGTTTAAAAACACTCAAAAGAAAAAAACTGGCCAAGACTAACTTTGACACCCAGAGATGCACGGGTAAATGATAAAACCATAAAGAAACATCAAAATGTTGTTACCATAAAAGCCAGGACAGTGGTTACTTCTAGGGGGTAGGAAGGGGCTGGTGATTGGAATGGGGGTAAGTGGAGCGGTTTCTAGAGTGGCTGGCAAAATTCAAATTCTTGACCTAGGTGATGGTTTCAAGAGGATTAGCCTTATAATCATTCATTAAACTATATGTTTGTTTTATGTCTTTTTTCTACAATTGTGTTTTGTTGGGTATTTTTTTTTCCGTAAGAATAAAAAGAGAAAAAGAGGAATAAAGTATTTAAGAAAGGCAGAAAGACATCAGAACTTCCAGGGGCTATCTAAGGAAGAAAATTAGTAGATTCCAACAAGTGGCAATAAGTATAAGAAAGTTATCAGTATATTTCTGCGCATCCTATCAAGGTGGCTTAGTTCATCCTGCTAATCTCTCCAGTTATTTGTCATAAAAGCACAGAAACAGAAAGGGTTCAGGCCCTTTTCTCAGAATGAAAAGGGTAAGACTGTATCATCCCATTCATTCCTGCTTTCATTCAGAGCATCACTTTGTAACAGATTCTCCAAGGTTCTGGAGCTATAATGATGACTAACACTCAGTCCTCAACCCCAAGGAACCCACAACCAACCTTTGGAAGAAAGAAGTCTCAAGAGGCGACTAATCAAAAGACACAGTCTAAAATCCCCGAGGGCTCTAAAAGAGGAAAAAAGATCTCAAAGATTGTTGGCAATGCAAACAAAATGAACCTACTCAGGTTTTAGGTCTGACACCAGGAAACATTTAATGAATGACTTACAGAGTCAGAGTCAGAGTCCTCGTTTGATCTACCCCATGTAAAACAGCCTCCCACTCCTCAATGATTTTTCTAAAAACAAAAGTTATTTGTCAATAATATCAGCTGATCTCAGGAGAATGTGATATGGGAGGGCTACATATGGAATGAAGACTTGAGAGCATGGGGGATATTCACATTTCTAAGTTGCATGGGAGGGGGTGGTCCACGGCTGTTCATTTAGTACTAAATTTCATAACTTCCATACATGTTACATGTATTTTTTTTGTTATCAGATGTTCCATTAAGTTAAAATATAATAAAAACAGCAATTGACTAGCATAATTATAAAGTAATGTTATAGGGTAAAATATGAAAGTGGCCCCTTCTAAAATTAACTAACTTGCTTGTTATAAGTTGACATTAGAATCAAAGGAAAACAGGGATCCCTGGGTGGCGCAGCGGTTTGGCGCCTGCCTTTGGCCCAGGGCACGATCCTGGAGACCAGGGATCGAATCCCACGTCGGGCTCCCGGTGCATGGAGCCTGCTTCTCCCTCTGCCTGTGTCTCTGCCTCTCTCTCTCTATCTGTGTGACTGTCATAAATAAATAAAAATTAAAAAAAAAAAAAAAAAAGAATCAAAGGAAAACATAAAAAGTTTTGAGGCCTGGAAGAGAGACCTGCTGCCACTTTCTTTCCTACTCTTAAATGTGACCCATATGGCAATAATATTAATATACAGCAATTATGTTATTATTTAAAATACTACCATTAGTTCGAAACACCTATACAGCCCTCTACAAAGCACATCCTCAAACGTATGTCTTATTTGATTTTCACGAAAACCCTACCTAAGAGATAATGCAACGTTCCTCAAAAGGGCATGCAGCATCCTTCAGAAAGCACATCTAATGTAGATGATGAACGACTCATTCCCACTCTGCCACTATTTCCCACCTCCTCATTTCCACACATTTCTCTCTGGTAAAACACACTGGGTGCCAATAGCAGTTAACCACTTACTAGTAACCTGATTACTAGACGCCAAATATAGGCCCCTAACATTTACCCACGTCATGTTGTCGAATTCTCCCAACAGTCTGGGAAACAAGTAGTGTGATTGTCCACAACATGACACATGAGAAAATGAAGACTCAGAAAGCTTCAATCACTTGCCCCACATTCCGGGGTTAGTCACAGAACCAGGACTAGGCTCCAGGCTCATCCAACACCAGAGTCTTAAGCACTGTATGGGCATCAATTCCTACAAATACAAACCCTTCCTGAAAACCCTGTCCAGCATATTCCCAAAACTGGTGAAGTCAGTGTTCACAACAACCCCACTCTGTAGGACCCACTTACCAGTTGGGTTTTGGGCATCGAATCCCTCTGAAGGAAGATCATGTCCTTTAAGTTCTCTGAGCCAATGCTTTCTGACAGTTCATAGAGCAGGTTTCTAAGACATATATCAGAGAGACAAATAAAACCTCACATGTGTGGAGGACAGCACAATAAATCAAGCGCACTTTTTACAAACATTCTCATGTGGATGATCCCAACCCTGTGAGTAGATAAATCTCTACTGAATTCTGAATCCCACTGTATAGATTCAAAACTAAAACTCGGAGCTTTAAGAGGCCTATTATATTAAGATAATACAATAAGGGGGTGCACCTTAGTGGCTAAGTTGAGTGCCCGACTCTTGATTTCAGCTCAGGTCATGACCTCAGGGCTGTGAGATCAAGCCCTGTGTCGGGCTCTGCACTGGTTGGGGAGTCTGCTTGAGATTCTGTCTCCTTCTCCCTCTGTCCCTCTCCCTCCCCCCCCTCACGCCCACGCTCTCTCTCTCTCCCTCTGAAAAAACAAAATAAGATTAAAAATAAAATAAAATTTTAAAAGATAACACAATAAGCAGGTGAGGCAGGCCTTCTGATTCCAAGTCCAATACCATTTTCCATCCCACTAGGAAGATGTAAAACTCCATGTTGGCATACCCTCCCACCTCCTGACTCCATTCCAGGAATTCAGACTTACTTTACAGGCCCTCATCAAAGAGGACTTGATGCCAGTCTGTATGAGGTCAACTGTTGAACAAAGAAGGAAATATCCCAGCTTCTGGAGAATCATGTAATTGACAACCAGAAAAGCTGAACATTTCATTCACATACTAACACCTCTGTATGCCAGAGACCCACCCTGGGTCATTGAACCAGCGTTGTGGAAATAATGACTTGCAGAATTCCCCCACTGACTCAAGTATAGCTCAGATTCTCAGCCACTTCAAGCACTAAGACCTGAAGGATTCTAGTCACCCAGGCCATAAAAGGTTCTTTCTCATGTGATTCTCTGATGAAGCTATGTCAGTGGACAATTTAAAACTGTGTTGATCAAGTTAAATCCTGGTGACGTGCTATACAACTTGGTGACTATAGTTAGCAATACCGTTGACCCTTGAACAACATGGGTTTGAACTGTGAAGGTCTTCCTGAGTTCTGATTTTTTTCAATAAACAGAGTACAGGATAGTGAATGTATTTTCTCTTCCTTATGACTTTCTTATTAACATTTCCTTTACTCTGACTTACTCTATCCCAAGAATACACTATATCATACATGTAACATGTAAAATATGTATTAATCAACTTTATGGTCAACAGTAGGCTATTAGTAGTTAAGTTCTGGGGGAGCCAAAGGTTATGCATGGATTTTTGACTGTGTGGGAACTGGCACTTTAACCCCCACATTGTTCAAGGATCAACTATACTGTGTTATATATTTGAAAGCTGCCAAAGAGTGGATTTTAAAAGTTCTCATCACAAGAAAAGAAAAATTGGTAACTATACATAGTGATGGATGTCAAACGTATTGTGGGGATCATTTCACAATACACTCATGTATCAAACCACTATGGTATACACCTAAAACTGTACAATGTTATGGGTCAACTGTATCGCAAGTAAAAATAAAAAATGTTAAATAAATAAAATAGCGTTATCTAAGGTCTGACCTGTGATAACCTGATGGCTGTATTTCACCCCATGAGTAAAACATCTGTATTTTACCTCTCTGGGTTTCACCCAAAAATGTGTGAAAATTTAAAATTGGGGATCCCTGGGTGGCGCAGTGGTTTGGCGCCTGCCTTTGGCCCGGGGCGTGATCCTGGAGACCCAGGATCGAATCCCACGTCGGGCTCCCGGTGCATGGAGCCGGCTTCTCCCTCTGCCTGTGTCTCTGCCTCCCTCCCTCTCTCTCTCTCTCTCTCTGTGACTATCATAAATAAATAAAAATTTAAAAAAAAATTTAAAAAAAAAAAAAAGAAAATTTAAAATTGGACATGGCATAAATGATGTCTTTCTCTACTCCAGAGATACATCTCCTTTTTCATTTGCTGATTTGGCCCCAAGTAGGCATTCCCTCTTCTCAAATCCTCACAGTGAGTCACAGGAGGAAGGGCTATCTCGGAATGCAGAGGGTAAAAGGAAAGTGCAAACCCCGCTATGCTGAAGCCAACTTCCATTGGCAGGGAGAGGCAAACCAAGAGAAGGCACTGCCAGGCCCCTAGCTGGGCTCTGAAGCCTTGCTGACCTCCCAACCTCTCATCTCATTAGTACCTGAAGGGAAGAGATCTCCTGGTTTTGAAGCACTATGTCATCAAAGGAGGTGGGTAAGAAGAAAATCCTAATCCTCGCCTCCTTTCAGAGCCCAGTGGCCTGAATGAACACCAAATAGATGGAAACCCCCCTCTTGATCACAGACTCCTCCCCACCTGAACAGAGAGACCCTCCTTCGAGTTGGCAGCAAACTCTCCACTTGCTCTTTGCTTTGATTGAGGTACCGCAGCAGCGAATTTTGCTTGATTATATAGAGGAGTTCCGCTAGGAAGAAGGGGTCCTCCTCACTCAGCAGCTCCTCGGCCAACAGATGATCAAAAATATCTGAGGCTGAGTTGGACCTCTCCAGCTTCTTGTGGGAGACGAAGTCTCGGCAGAGAAACTTCAAGCCCTCCACATCTTGGATCTCCAGTTTTGAATCAATAGTCAGAAGCTTCCCACGGAAGCTCGACTGACAATTATCATCAGAACGGAAAGTCAAACTTTGAGCTTGAGTTGTCATGGCCAGCCTGAAAGAGAGAAGAGGTGGGGCAGCACATGAGAAAGCAAGGATACAGAGAACCCCAACTTCCCAGGCCTCCTCCGTTCAGGCATGAGAATTTCCCAAAAGTGCTGAAAAATAAAAATTCCTATAAGCTTACTTCAAAAACCAGTAGCCCCAAAAAATGAGCCCAACACTTGCATGGCAACCGTTTTGGAGGTCTGGAGGAAGCTTTTTTTGGAATCCAATTTACCTTCATTTCTCCCAAATCAAAGTGTCCCTGGGGAGAGCTCGTCAAAAGGGAGGCTGACAAAGCACAATCTCTCCATGTTAGAGCTTTTAATTCATTCCAATCAAATAGCAGAAATCGAGTTTAGATTTATGCCTTTCATTTTGGAAATACAGCAGTCTGGGAGTTTGTACTTCAGAAGTGTCCACTAATCCAAGAACAACCATAACAGGACAGGTCTATATCTCACAAAAAAGAGAAGCCATAATCCTAGACCTCAAACGAAAGGGAAGTTTTGGACAAGAGTTGCTAGATCACTGAAGGAAGTCACAAATTACCTAAATTATATTTCCACCTGATCTGTTCATAAAGTTCATACGGTATTTTCTTTTTTTTTTTAATACGGTATTTTCTACACTAAATTTCATTCTAATTAGAGGAACAACGAACTGATAAAAAATTTTCAGTGTGATATTATTCATTCTATAAGGCCTCAAGGTGTAGATTCTCTTTGTAAGATTTGGCTATTTAGAAACAAGAAACCACTTTCTAAAGGAAGGAGAACATAACAAAAACAACATCAGTAACAAAGAGTGGTTGTATCTAATTGGTATAATTACAAATACTATAAATTCTTTTCTGGGCCACTGTCTGAGTTTCTCAGATTTTATGCAACGAACACACATTAGTTTTACTGTTAGAAAAAGAAAACTGAGGGGTGTCTGACTGACTCGGTAGGTAGAGCATATAACTCTTGATCTCAGGGTTGTGAGTTCAAGCCCCACACTGGGTGTACAGCTTACTTAGAGAGAGAGGGAGAGAGAGAGAGAGAGAGAGAGAGAGAGAGAACAGAAAATGGTATTTTTTTGTGCTTATCCATGGGGTCTTCCCTTCTAGTAGTAGCCTGTGATACTAGAAACCAAATGAATGGCTTCTTGGACAGAGTTTGCAATTCTAAGATATCTTAAATTTGCCTTGCAGTTTCCCGAAGATTCCAATCTGTAGCTTTGATGACTGTGCCAGACTGTCTCCATTTGTGGACTAGCATTTACTTCCGCCTCTAAAAGTCTGTGTTGGAGCTTTCCTGGGGCTTTTGAGGCCTTCATTTTCCCTGGCACAGCTAATCAATCCAGGCAGAAACATGCCATGGCCAACAAGGGCTTTTGCAAGTCTCTGTGACTGAAGCCTATTGTGGAAGAGCTCAGCAGGAGAAAGGTGCTCACCACGTACCTTCAGATCAAATTCCGTTGATCCTCTGGAGGCAAATGGTTCCTGGGGGAAACTACCTGAAAACAAAGTTTTGAAGAAATTAGAATCCTCTGCGTAATCCAAGTTCCAGGGAAGCTCCCATTTACGCGGGAAGAGAACTCAAGACTTTTCTGCTTCAGCGAGCAAAAACTGGACCTTCTGGTTTGGGTAACTTGATAATTAATTTCCTGCCCACGTCAGAGCTGCCTTGGCTGCCTTCTCCCCTCCCCTTTCCAGGTTTTGGAAAACGCTAACAAACAGCGCCTCCTAAAGGCAAGAGTCACAATTTTTCCACTGGACGCCCGGGATTTTCTCTGGTTAAACCAAGGACTCTTTACAAATGAACTTTTCCTTTGGGTCACGAAGGTTGATGAATCAGAGAAGGAAGGAGAGAGAGAGAGAGGGAGAGAGAGGAGATAAGGAAGCAAGGAAGAACAAAGAAAGGAGACTTTTCCTAACCATCTCCTTCCCCAAACTCACTTAACCTTTAAAATAAAACCCAAGAAGTTCAAGAAATAGAGGTCAGCCATCTTAACTCTTTCTCAAAAAGTTGCATGTGCAAATTTTTTTAGTTTAAGGTAGAAAAAAAGGGAGGGAGAGCTGGACTATAAGCCCATTTGGAGGTATTTGCAGGAAACTCAATAGCAGACAAAACTGATGCAGTCTTTGGTCTCACAGCACATTCAGTGCACCAAGAAAGAGACTTTGAAGACATTATTTATAAGGATAAAAACAATACCTAACACTTACATGGCAATTGTCATGTATGAGGCACTATTTTTTCATTGAACCATCCCAAGTCTCTAAGATAAATACTATTAGCATGACTCCTCCTTTAGATGTGAAAACTAGAACACAGAAAGGTTAAGTAATTTTTCCAAGGTCACATGGTAAGTTAGTGGGAAAGCCAAAACTTAAATCAGCAAATCTGACTCTTAGTCACTGCACTATAATTCAGCACATTCAGGTGTGCAGAGCTCTGGGAAGAAGTACAGATTCTTAGAAAAGATATTTTATTTCTGAAAAAAAGTAAGATTAATGATGCTTTACTAGCAAATATATTAAAGTGCTATTTTCATATCCTTGGCATCATCCAGAGAACTATGTTTAAGAAAGATGAGCCCAATTACTCAGCCATAAAAATGAATGAAATCTCACCATTTACAAAACCATGGATGAACCTAGAGGGTAGTATGCTAAGTGAAATAAGTCAGACAGAGAAAGGCAAATACCATGTGATTTTACTTATATGTGGAATATAAAAAAAAAAAAAAACAAATGAACAAACAAAACGGTAACAGACTCCTGGATATTGGAAACTGTTGGTTACTAGATGGGGTTTGGAGCACAGGTAAAAAAAGGTGAAGATGATTAAGAGGTACAAACTTTTTTAAAAAAAAGAGGTACAAACTTCCAATTATAAAATAAATGAGGGGAATGTGACATATAACATAGCAAATAGAGTCAATAATTTCATAATAACTGTATGATGACAGATGGCAACTAGACTTAACATGAGGATCATTTCATAATGTACAAAAATAACAAATCAGTATTATGTACACTTGAAACTAATAGGATATTGTATGTCGATTGTACTTCAGTTTTTAAAAACTTACAACTTAAAGTGTGCAATGGGCAGAGCAATTTAATCTGTTTAATAAACCAGTCAAAAGATACACCCCATTGGTCCTGGAAACAAGTGTGAAAAACCTGAATGTGGCTTTGAGTGATGAGGAAATGATGGTGTGTGTATAACTTCTACAAAACCCCTAAACATAGCCAGACAGGCATGAGCACTGGTATAGGGAGTTCCATTTATTATTGGAATGTATGCCATTTGGAAATGTTCTTTACTATTACTAATAATAAATAAATGGTTCAGAGAAAAAAGAAAAAACAAAATAAGTCCTAGTGGTGATGGTTGCACAACAGTGTAAATGTACTTAATGCCACTGAATCATACACTTAAAAATCGTAAATTTTATGTTATGTACATTTTACCACAATTTTTTTGAAAGATAAGGATACACAAGCCCTAAGTCTTAGTCTTCTATTTCATTCCTTGCAGCATTTCAGAAAGTAGTTTAGTAAAACTATCACTTCTCACCCTGTTTATAAAGTACACTAGCTTTTTCAACTTTTATTCAACAATATTAAATATTTTGCAAGCTCTCCCCATGTGTAAAGCACTGACCTGGGCACAATTAGAAAGGAAAAGTGAATAAAACACGTTTACCTTTAAATAATTATGACTACTACCATTTCTTGGCCCCTTCTTTTCTGATGAACTGTCTAAAGTCAATGTTATTAGCTACATTCAGGAGATGAGGAAATTGAAGCTCATGGTTGCAAAGTATCTTGCCATTATCCCAAAGGCAGGAAGAGATGGGAATTCTAGGTCTCTCAGATTCCAAATCCCATGCTCCTGACCACAAGGCTACAGCTGCCTGTGTCTCCATATGACATGCTATATGTAACCATTGGGCAGGGTGTGCTGATGCTGTGATAGGGCTTCACCTAAATACTATAAGAGCTCCAGGAACAATGGATGAGTCCTAATGAAGATGACTTGGAGGAGGAAGTATTTGAGCTAAGTTTGGAAAGCAGAAGTAGAATAGAGACACGTGAAGTAAAACTTAAACTTTTGTCTTAGTACTTAGTGGAAACACTCGAACCAAGTTACAGTGAGATTGTGTGCCATTTTATTTATATTCAGTATTTCACACTTCTTCCAATTTAGGGCACAGCAACTGAGGACATGTTGATGGCAAGTTGATAGTAGTGGAAAGAATAAACATTTCTTACGGCATCTTTCCTGATTGGTTGCAGGCAAGTGGGTCTACACGAAAAGCCAGTCAAAACCTATTTAGCCTTTTATAAAGTGTTGGGAGTCTGCTACTGCCCTGGGGACAAAGGGGAAATACCGGATTGTTTCTCTTTAGTTTCATCTTCAGAGTGGCTAGTGGTGGCAGTAGTAGGCTTTCCTTTATGTCCAGGCTTTGGTCCAAGTTCTCCACCCTCAAAGTTTATAAAGGGAAACTTTGTAAGTGTAAAGACTTATGAACTAAAGAATGGACACAAGTGGAAGATGGGAAGATGAGTGTGCCACCTGCTGAAGAGCTCCATTCCTTGAAACTTTCGCCCCAAACCCTGATCCTGAGATGGTAGGTTCTTTTGAGGAGCCATCCCATCCCCAACTTCCAGGTCCTCCTCCCTCCTTCCCTCCACACCTATTCACACATTCCAGACCTTGCCAGAACCAATGTGGGTGGGCAACATCTAATCCATTAACAGTCCAATAGAAAGGAGGAAGGGCAAATTCTCTCTTTTTGAACTGGTTGGTCATCTTCTTCTACCTTTGGACATTAAAGCTCCTGGTTCCCTGGGCTTTTGGACTCCAGAACTTACACCAGCAGCCCCTACTCCCCACTCCATCTCACCCCACTCCCCAGCCACACTCTTATTGTGTATGCACTGGAGAATCTTGAAAGTTTCAAAGGAGGGAGGTGACAAAGTTGTAGCTAAGGAGAGTCTTCAGTTTGCCACGTATGAAGTAATCATAGAATTAAGAGGCTAGGGCAGCCCCGGTGGCTCAGCGGTTTGGTGCCGCCTTCCGCCTAGGGCATGATCCTGGAGACCTGGGATCGAGTCCCATATCGGGCTCCCTGCATGGAGCCTGTTTCTCCCTCTGCCTGTGTCTCTGCCTCTCTCTATGTGTGTCTCTCATGAATGAATAAATAAATAAAATTTAAAAAAAGAATTAAGAGGCTAGTGGCAAGATCAGAGAGAAAGCCGTTATCATAGTTCAATGGAGAGATAATGAAAGCAAGGGAAATTGTAATGATAGAGATAGATGGAGAAGACATTATAGATACAGGACCAACCAATTTGGAAACTGGCTGAATAAAGAAATAGAGGAAAGAGTAGATCACAGTGAAAATGAGGTGCCATTAACTGAAATTGGGAGACACAGGCAGAAAAGCAGATTTGTAATGGAGGTTTTTATATTATATTATATATATATTATATTATATTATATTATATTATATTATATTATATTATTATATTGAGTTGGAGATGCCAAAAGGAAATGAAGTGGAGGGATCCCTGGGTGGCGCAGCGGTTTGGCGCCTGCCTTTGGCCCAGGGCGCGATCCTGGAGACCCGGGATCGAATCCCACGTCGGGCTCCCGGTGCATGGAGCCTGCTTCTCCCTCTGCCTGTGTCTCTGCCTCTCTCTCTCTCTCTCTGACTGTCATAAATAATAAAATAAAAAATTTTAAAAAAAAAGATTTCCTCTTTAAAAAAAAAAAAAAAGGAAATGAAGTGGATGAAGTGGAAGCATTAGCCAGGAGGTTGCAGGGTGAGCTTTGAACTTGAAGAGTCTGGACTAGAAATATCCAACTTGTTAGCAGCATAGGAGTAGTAATTGAAGCTACAAGATTGTTGAACAAGAACATATAAAGAGAGAAAACAAAGGAGTGGTCCTTGTGAATATACACAGTCACAGATATGGAGACAAAAGATTCTAAGAAGACTTGGTCAAAGAAGTCCTTGAGAGAACTTCTAGGGGGGAATACAGTAGGAAGGGAGAAATAGGGAGGAGACAGTGACCCCCAAAGAACCTAAAGACTACTAGTTTGGTCACCCTTCGATTTTACAGATTTGGCTGAATGATTAAGGTAGAATCCAGATAGCAAGGAAGTATGGAGCAAGTGGGTGGAATAAGAGAGAGTACAGAGTAGTCTAAACCATCATAAGACTTGAAAGAGGGCAGCCCCAGTGGCTCAGTGGTTTAGCGCCACCTTCAGCCCAGGGTGGGATCCTGGAGACCTGGGATCAAGTTCTGCGTCGGGCTCCCTGCATGGAACCTGCTTCTCCCTCTGCCTGTGTCTCTGTCTCTGTCTCTCTAAGAATAAATAAATAAAATCTTAAAAAAAAAAAAAAAGAAAGAAAGAAAGAGAGGGACTTAATTTGATGGGGGCGTCAGAGCTTGGTTTTAGACTGAAGGATCAAAGATAGAGGGAGAGTTTAAAGATGCAAGACAGCTGAAATAATGCTTAGTCCTGACAGAAGACTGAGCTATGCCAGAAAAGGCAGTAAGAAGAGGATGGGAATCCTAAGGAAGAAAAGATGTTTCTTTATCATCATTTAAGCACTGAAAAATTGTGAATGACTTAAATATAACGCAAAACATAGATATAGACATGACTACTTGAAGGAAAAGATAGAACAATGTTAAATATTATGCCATTTATGTTTAAAATAAATACATTAAGTGTGTTTATATATTAAACAAACTGGACCTTTTTATAATATGTAATTTTTATTTTGTTTTTAAGTTACAATATGTGCTTTGTATACAAGGAAACAAATAATACATTTATTTAAAACTCCCAATATGGTACTAATATTGAGTGTATACTAATACATAGACCTTACATCTTTCAGAAAAAGTAACTCAAAATGATGACAGACTTAAATGCAAAACTCTACAACTTCTGTATAATAACATGCAAGAGGGGCGCCTGGGTGGTTCAGTTGGTTAGGTATCTGCCTTTGGCTCAGGTCATAATCTCAGGGTCCTGGGATCTGGCCCCATGTTGGGCTCCATGCTCAGTAGGGAGTCTGCTTGCCCCTCTGCCTCTGCCCCTGATGGGCTCTCTCTCTCTCTCACAAATAAATAAATAAAATATTTAAGGAAAATAACATAGGAGAAAGTGTAGGTGATCCTCAGTTTGCTGATGATTTCTTAGATACACACTAAAAGCACAATCCAGGGGGGAAAAAAAACATCTGTAAGTTGAATTTCATTAAAATTACAAACTTCTACCACATTTGGAAGAAAATATTTGTAAAATATATCTGATAAAAGACTTACATCTGTAATATACAAAGAACTCTTTAAAACTCACCAGTAAGAGGGATGTCTGAGTAGCTCAGTTGGTTAAGTGTCTGACTGTTGGTTTTGGTTCAGGTCATGATTTCAGGGTCATGAGATCAAACAAGACTCTCCTGCCTCAGTAGGGAGTCTGCTTAAAGATCTTCTCCATTTCCCTATGCCCTGCCCCCTGCTCACTCTCTTTCTCTCTCTCTCAACTAAATCTTTAAAAAAATAATAATAATAAAAATAAAAACCTTCACCAGTAAGAAATAAGTCACTTTAAAAATGGGTGTCAACAAAGAAGATACACAGATTTAAGCAAATGCTCACCATGATGCCATTAGGTAACTGCAAATTCAAATGTGTTATCACTACCCATCTATTAAAATGGCTAAAATCCAAAACATTAACCACCAAATACTGGCAAGGATGTGAAGCAACAGGAACTCTGCAAAATGGTATAGCCTCTTGGGAATACAGTCTGTGTTTCTTCCAGAGTTAAACATAAGCTTACCATCAATTCAACAATTGTTCTCCTAGGTATTTGCCTAGTGAGCTGAGCTTATATCCACAAAGAAATCAGCATACAAATGTTTATCGCACCCTTATTCACAATGTCAAAACTCAGAAGTAACCTAGATGCATATTAAACATGTAGGTTAAAAAAAAAACAAAAAACATGTAGGTAGCTCAGATTTTAAATGCATACATATTTTTAAACAATAATAGAAAATTAAAATCATCTAGATAAATTTTTAAACTTATAACATGCATAAACATTCTAAACATCTTAATCAAATAATAATGCATCAGTTGGACTGTGTAGGTGGAAAGAAGTATAAATTTTTTTCTCTCACATAAAAATCTGGAGGTAGGTAGATTCATCCAAGAAGGCTACTTCCTGCTCACCACTTAGCTGGCCCTACAGTGTGGCCATTATCCCACAGTTCAAGATGGAATTTAAGGCTCCAGCCATCACATTCGTGTTCTAGTCAGCAAGATAGAGGAAGGGATGAAAAGGTGAAGGGCAGAAACAACTGCCTTTTTTTTTTTTAACAACTCCCTTTTTAACATTTTAATTCCAATATAGTTAACATACAGTGTTATTTTAGTTAGTCTTGGTAGCATAAACAACATCCTTAATCCTGAAAACTTGCTCCTAAAATCTCAGAGGGCAAGAAGAGATTCTCATATCAAACCCTGCAGATAGAAGAAGGTGTCCGGTGACCCCTACTATGACCTGTTCATGGAAGAGGACTGAAAGAATTGGGGAATGGGATAGAACAGGGAATGGGATAGAACAGGGGAAGAAGTGAGGGTCAACTGGGGGTTGACTAGTCAGTCATCTGGACCAGTGGCTCAGAAAAGCAGCAGTGAGTCCGGGGGTCCTGTGTCTGAAAAGGGGCTAAATATGGGACAGAGAAGTGAGGACAAAAGTAAGAAGAGGAAGGTAGTTTTGTTAGTGATACAGAACCAACTGCTTAAAAGTTGAAAGGAGTTACCAGAACTTTAGGGCAGGAGCCAATATTCTGAAATATATAGACAGATATAGGTGAGAATTTGGAGAAAAGAAAGAGAAAATATCAGTCATAGTCCTGCCATCTATATGCCACTTTGGAAAATGATCTTTTGTTTTCCTGAGAAGTATTTTTTGTTTTATTTTAAGCATAATTGTAATAAACATACTATTTTGTACTCTTTTTCAGGTAACATGAATATATGAGCATTTTTCCTCACTACGATGTTCTGTTAAGGCCATATTGTGAATTGGTTAAGCACTTGGGCCCCAAAGTGTCTCTCTTTATGGCCCGAGTTTATATCCTAGTATGGGGTGATGATAGGGAAGCTACTTAACATTACTTGGCCCATTTTCCTCTATCTATAAAATGGAAGAAAAATAGTGAGAACAATAATACCTACCTCATAGAGCTGTTCTGAGGGGGGATTGAATAAAATCCTTCATGTAATTTATGTAATGAGCTAACAACCCAATGTAAGCTCTTATTATTTATAAACATAATTTTAATGGTTACATAAAATACCAGCCAGTGATATCGTCACAACCATACATTTATTACTGAACACTTGACAGTCTGGGACGACTGTTAACATTTTTAATATTTTATTGGATTTATGCATAGAGATACACATCATTTAAAACCAAGTCAAGAGGCACCTGGGTGGCTCTGTGGTTGAGCATCCACCTTTGACTCAGATCATGATCCCAGAGTTCCTAGGATCAAGTCCTGCATCGCGGTCCCCATGGGGAACCTCCTTCTCCCTCTGCCTACATCTCTTGCCTCTCTCTATGTGTCTCTCATGAATAAATAAATAACATCTTTTTTTAAGTCAAAAAATATAAAAATAAATAAATTTTTAAAAACTTTAAATGCTATTTTAAATAATTATCTGGTTTTAGGTCTTCAAATCCAAGAAAGAAAAGTACATGTGATTGCTATAAAATATCACTTGAGTCCTAGATATTTCAAATTACAAGGCCAGTTACAGACTCAATGTTTGTGACCCTGGGCAAATTCATAGCTTGACACCCTAATCCTCAATGTGATGATATTAGGAGACAGAGCATTTGGGAGTAATTAGCTCATGAAGGTGGAGCTTGCTTCCCCCCTCTGCTCTTTGCTATGTGAAGGCACAGTGAGAAGATGGCCATCAGTAGACCCAGAACCTGGTCCTCATCAGACACCAGATCTGCTAGCGCCTTAATCTTGGACTTGACAAGGAGTCATACCTTCTTGGGACACCTGGGTGGCTCAGTGGTTGAGCATCTGCCTTTGGCACAGGGCATGATCCCAGGGTCCCAGGACCGAGTCCCACATCGGGCTGCCCATGGGTAGCCTGCTTCTCCCTCTGCCTGTGTCTCTGCCTCTCTCTCTCTCTCTCTCTCTCTCTCTCTCTCTCTGTGTGTCTCTCATGAATAAATAAAATCTTTTTAAAAAAACAAACTTTCCTGGGATCCCTGGGTGGCGCAGCGGTTTAGCGCCTGCCTTTGGCCCAGGGCGCGATCCTGGAGACCCGGGATCGAATCCCACGTCAGGCTCCCGGTGCATGGAGCCTGCTTCTTCCTCTGCCTGTGTCTCTGCCTCTCTCTCTCTCTCTCTCTCTGTGTGTGTGTGACTATCATAAATAAATAAAAATTTAAAAAAAAAACTTAAAAAACAAACTTTCCTGACAACATTCCTAACAGAGGGTCTTTTCAATACATAACAGGACCCATCTTACCCACATATCTTGAAAATTACTTCTGGTAGTTTGGTTAGGAAAGTTTAGTAATGAAGACTACAGAGCTAAGCTAAGAGAGGCTTTTGGCCATTCATTTACAGGAGAGGATAAGTTTCTTTCTCAGAGTATGCTGCAGCCAGACGTAGTACCTCTCCTTAGCAGACACTCTGCTATTCCAATCATAAACGCTGCTGTTGAGTTCAGTGTGGAGTTCCAAGAGTGGGCGTCTTCTGGAGGGAATGAGAAAAGCAAAAATTAATGCCATGCAGATATCAAAAAGGAGACAGATTGTCATTAGGGTGAAATGAGCCAACAGATGTGAAAGTGCTTTACAATTGTTTCTTTTTAAATGCTCTCTACAAGCTACTGAGTGAGTGATCCAAACCAGCTTGCCCAATGACCACAGTCCCTTCACCCAAGGGGCAACAGCATCTTATCCTGGGGACACTCCAGCCAGATGATAACTTACCTGGATCATAATGCAAATGTAGGATGGATGCCAAGAATACTGCTGGCCCATGGAAGGCTGGGTCATTTCTACTATAGCCCATTCCTTGCTGCTGAACCACTACTGAAGGGGTTGGGTGGTCATAGGTCATGAGACATATATCTGGGGTCCCCAGAACTACAACAGAATGCATTTCACACATGGCTCAGAAACATCATTCTAAACTGTAACGAGTGAACAACTGAAAAAAGGACTGCTAATCTTACGTGGAAATAATCTTAAATAAAAACTAGATAACCAAGTTTTCCCTTAGAAAAGTATTCTTGCCAATAAACATCAGAAATGTCTGTATAACACAGACTTGCAGATGTGGGGAGTCAGGTACCATTTTCCACCTATCAAACTGTCAAAACAGGGCAATAAAAGAGCGTGCAGTGTCGAGCAGAATTTGGGGACACGGGCACTCTTGTGCAAAGTGGGTGTAACTGTCCTAGAGGGCAATCTGATAAGACACATCCAAGCCTTTCCAAATGTATGCTGTTTGACACAGGACTTCTTCTGGGAATTTTGCTCAAGAAAACTGTACGGATGAGCACAAATACTGAGCTACAAAGATATTGAATGCTTTCCTTGTATGAAAGCAAAACACCTTCCAAAGACTGAAAATTGGTCAAGTAAATTATGCCATAGCCATATTCTGGACTGCTCCACAGACATTAAGATGATGCTGTAGAAATGTGACTACTGACATGTAAAATATATGGGATATACTGTTACACCAACTAAAAGCAGGTTATAAAGTAATAGTGGATGATGATTCCATTTTGGTTTAAAAAACATTTAGATATGAGACGCCTGGGTGGCTCAGCGGTTGAGCATCTGCCTTTGGCTGAGGGCGTGATTCCGGGATCTAGGATCAAGTCCTGCATCGGGCTCCCTGCGAGGATCCTGCTTCTCCCTCTGCCTGTGTCTCTGCCTATGTGTGTGTGTGTCTCTCATGAACAAACAAATAAATCTTTAAAAAAAAAATAACATTTAGATATGATTGTGCAGGTATCCAAAAAAAGATCTGGAAGGCAAAACACCAAAAAAGATCTGGAAGGCTAACAGAGATTGGTTCTAATAACTAGGATTATAACTGTTATGTTCTGGGTTCAGCACATATATTTCATAGGGTTTTTTCAATGGCATATGTACTGCTTTTGTCATTTAAAAAAAAAAGACAATTAAAAATTTCTTTATTTTGAAGACCAATATCCAAACTACAAGCTGACTAGCAAGTGACCTCCCGAAGCACAAAGCATTCCTAAAACATGTATTTCCTATGGCAATCCCACCAGGGAATGAAAAATCCTTTTCTCCCTGAAGAGAAGAGCGCCCCACGTGGTAATCACAGTGGTAAACTCCATCTTGGTAGCAAGAGAAGAGATGAGTGGTCCAGGGATGGGCCACCGCTGAGGCGGCTCACCTGTCTTGCCCCAGTTTCTGGGAAAGGCATTTCAGGTACAATGATGGAGAACCAGAGGACTGTTCCAGAAGGGACACGTCTGCCTTGCACAGGCTCCAAAGGAAGTCAGCTTCCCGGTGAATGGTGCAGGGCCCAGGCTGCTTGGCTTTGGATTCCACATTGTTTACTGCTGGTCCATCCACCTCCAGGAAGCTGCTGCTGTCCATCTGGCCCTCTGACACCACATAGTTCTGAATAAAGAAGAGCTTTGGCTTCCCTAAGAGAAAAGGGCATGCATCTCCCATGAACATCCTCCTGACCTGATCCAAAGGGAACCCTGAGTTTGTATGATCCACACCAAAAACACTCTGGGAGCCACCTCGGCTCACCAGGACACACACAAAGCTGTCGTAGTCTTGGTGTTGGGGCATGCGGGCAACTTGGCGAAGAATCTGGATTATACTGTCCACATCCAGATATAAGAAATACTGGACTTCGTAGCCCAGGGAGGTGAAGGTGTCCCGAAGAAACTCTGGATAAAATAAACAAACACACATGAAAAACAACACTAGGATGAGAAACACTTAAGAGGCAGTGGATAGCAATCCTAAGCACGGGCTGATCTCTGCTCCTTATCCATTTCTGCTTTTGTGCCATATTTTGAGGTTTTGAAGAACCGGAGCAGGGGGCAGGAAGGAATCAACCTGAAACACATTCACGTCCCAGGATCTCAGTTACCATCCGCCCCGTTATACCACCTTCCCTGCCCAAGGCCACCAGCACACGTGGCCACAGGCATGGATGGAGCCTACTTCTAGGCCAATGCAACCAACGGGGGAACAAAACTTTTTCTCTTCAACCAAAATAAAGCTGGGGACTTTCCAAAAGGCTCTTTCTTAAACTCACATACAAGTAAGGAGGAATGGATGCATTTGCAAAGTGCAGACCCGCACCTAGATCCAAATGGCTGCAGGAAGGGTGGCCCAGGTCACGAGTCCCCTCATCCCCACAGCTGTGGGCTGCTACAGCTGCGGGCACCTCCATCCAAGGCGTGACTATTTCCAGACTCCCCAGTTCCTCTCATGACCCGCTTCCCAGTGTAACCTCTGACCAAGATTCCCTGTAATGCCCCCAAGAATTCTTCTCTTAGTTTCCAGAAATTCTGGATTGGCTTTGCCTGGAGAAGCAGTGTTAGGGAGTGGAAAAGGCAGACTTTAGGGCGCACAAGCCTGCCTTCTAACACTGACCTTACCCATACCTGTGGCTGCATGACCTCAAAGAAGTAGGGCTCCCTAGCTTTTTTTTTTTTTAAGAATCTATTTATTTATTTAAAAAAAAAAAGAATTTATTTATTTATTTATTCATTCATTCATAAGAGACACAGAGAGAGAGAGAAGCAGAGAGATAGACAGAGGGAAGAGTAGGCTCCTTGCAGGGAGCCTGATGCAGGACTCGATCCCTGTACCAAGATCACACTCTGAGCCAAAGTTAGATGCTCAGCCGCTGAGCCACCCAGGCATGATGGTGGAAGTGATGGAAGTGATGATACTCAGCCTATGAGCATGCTGTGAGGATTAAGTGAGATAATACACATAAAGCTCCTGGGACTCTATTCCTTTTTTAAAGAAAATCTTGTATCCATCTCTTAGAAGTTTCTATAGCCTTGGAACCATAGAAATCCTACCCAGTCCATTTCTTGCCCATCTGCTCAGTTTGCCTTCATCAGAGAAATAGTTTCCTGCTTTGTCACATCTTTCTAATAGCAGAGGCAGACATCTTTCTCTTCCTCCTTAAAAATTCCACATCCCTTTGAGCCACCCTTTAAGTTTCTGTTCCTTGTCTGAGGGATGCCTCCACTTCTTAATTCATTTGTGGAACAAAAAAAAAAAAAAAAAAAAACTGCTCTGCCCTAAGCTAGACAGGCATCTCTGAATTCAGATTATTACTCGAACTCTCAGCCAGCCAACTTTTCTGGATTTCTCTTCATGTCTCATGACTATATACCCACCTCTCTTTGTCCCCCAGGGGTGTGGTCTTCCAGAAGTTTACCACTGCATTCACCCCAAACCAAACAACACAACAGTAATTAGAACAGATATAACTTAAAAAAAAAAAAAAAGAACAGATATAACTTCTACCAAGGAACAAAAAAGGGCCCTGTCTCATACCAGTGTAGGCGTCACAGAAAGGAGAGGTAAATAACTTCCTTGAAATTACTACAATTTGTTTGCCACAAATTGTCAACTCTCTACATTAAACGGGTCTGAAGTCTGAATAGTCACAAATAATTAAAAGACTCCTAGCATCAACCAAGAGTTTCAACCTTCTTGCCCTGCAAACTTCACTGACCACTAATAAACTATAAAAGTGAAAGTTAGCTATCGCAATTTCTCTTTTGGCTTCTCAGCAGGAAATAAGAAGAGGAAAAAAGAGAAAAAGAACCCCAGCCTTGGGTAAACAAAAGCTGGAATAAACAGCTACTGGACAAATAAGAGCTCACTTGAGCGCTCTGAGTTTAATTTGCCCAGCCTACGGGCAGTACATGGATATGTCCACATCGAGTCTAGTAGAACTTCCCACTCAGGAGAGCTGTGATTAATTATGGCCCCACATCTACCAGATATAGCAGTTTTAAATACGTCCATGAAGTTTTTGACACCCCTTCCTTAAAAAGAGTGTAGTTCCCCTACCCTTGAATGCAGATCATGCTTGGTAACTCATTTCTAATGAATATGGCAAAAGGGATACTATGTGACTTCCAAAGCTAGATCATAAAAAGGTTCTTTCTCTCTTTTGAACAGCTCATTCTGGGGGAAGCCAGCTACCATGTCATGAGAACACTCAAGCAGTCCTATGGAGAAGCCCACAGGAAGAACTAAGGCCGGCCTTGCACCAGCTCCACAGCCACATGAGTGAGCCACCTGAGAGGATCCTTCAATCTCAACCAAGCCTTTGGATGACCTCTGCTGAAATCTGACCACAATCTGCCAAGACACTCTGGGCCAGAACAGCCCAGCTAAGCTACTCCTAAATTCCTGCTCCACAGAAACTGTGAGATATATAAATAAATAAATATTAATTTGCACACATTATTAGATGAATAATTTACCAGGTAAATCAGGAAAGGGGAATGATAATAATTATTACTTAAGGATGTAGTTAGGCTACATACTTTTCATATGGCCCACAGGTAAGGGGGAAAAAATAATTATATATCACATAATAATGGAGAGATATAAAGAAGGTGTCAATCTCCTTAAAACCCTATGATAAATAAATATCATGAGGGAAATGAAGGACATGATACACAGGTTGCTGGATAACCTATTCATAGCTTGCTTGTCCCCACAGGATCTCAGTGCAGTAGAAAAAGCCCGCGGACACTGCCCCCTGGCCTTCACCTCAGCAGGTGTAGGCAAGGACCCCAGTTCCATCACTACTGTTTTATTCCTCAGTCTTCGGGGACTCACATGTCATGGGGCATTCTTTCCTCCAGGGGGCAGAAGCAAACAGGAAAACACAAGACTCAAAGCTTGTTTACTTTGACTCACTTCAAAATCCTCTCTTCACGGATAGATTAGCTGCCTTATCAAAGTCCTTGAAATAAAGCCACAGTCTGTCCACGCTGATGTGCAGAGGTCAGGGACCGCAAGGGCTGTCCTGTGCCTTCCATCTCTTGCCTTCTTCTGGGTTCCTGCGGGTTCTGGCTAGAGTGTGGCAGTCACACAGCAGCAAGAAGGCAGCTTGCATGGGACCAGCAAAGAGGAACCAGTCTTGGAATCACAAGATCTGAGTTTTAAGTCCTGGCTCCTCTACCTATTTGCTGGGTCTGAACCTTGCCTGGTCCTAGAAAAGCTAATTTACGCCAACAGAGAGGCTAGGAAGAGGATGGGAATCTCACGTCCACAGCAGGAAGTGCTTCCCTAAAGAACAAGAGAAAGAAGGATAAAGGGGAGGTCCCCAAAAGCCATTAAGAACAGCAAATCTGGATGGCCCTCAGACCAAGATGGAGCACCTGTTAACTATCCCTCTGGCAACACAGTCACCTCAGTAGACACAGCCTGAAATCACCATACTTGATATTTCCCATCATGTCACATCTTTCCTCTATCAGATGGGGAGGGCTGATGCTAGCTAGCATTTGCTACTTTCTTTCTTGGGCCATCAAGAACATGGATACATAGCCCAGTATGATTTACAGGCTCGAGGGAGTAATGACGGTATGAGTTTGAACAAATTAACCATCTTAAAAAAAAAAAATTAACCATCTTAGTTTATTCACCTGTAATTAATGTGATTAATACTAATGCCTATACCATGTTCTTCAAAAGGTGGCTGTGAGGATCCAGTGAGATTTCTGTAAAGACACTTTGCAAACTATGAGTGCCTACTAAAATGTAAGATATTAATTTTAAAGAAAATAAAGGGAAAAAAATAAAATAAAAGATAAAGAAAATAAAGGCAGCCGTTTCACCACATCATGAAGCTTGCAGAGCATCTCTCTCATGGAAGCTTCTCCTTAGAAGGGATGTCCAGAGGAAAGTCTCTCAGCCTACATTAATATGGTCTGAGAGCCATCAGATTCTAGGTCTGATTTATCACAATAACTGCCCTGTCACTTCCCTCAAATAGGGGAAGAATAACTGGGATGCTGAGTTTGGAAAATAAAACTTCAACAACTGCAGAAGTCACACTTCTCCTTCCCTGCACCCTGGAAACCCCACTCTTGACACAGCCCTGCCTCTGGAAACCTCAACTTCCCAAAATGATGGGCTTTCTTGCGGCCTTACAGTTAGTACAAGGGGTCAGCACCACCCACAGGTTTGGGGGCTATTGAGATGAAATCCAAAAAAACTAAATATAGTAAAAAATTATGCCCCCCCATTCATTTAGAATTTGTTTTCATCTACAATGAGTTTACATTGCAGGTGTCTGGCTGGCTCAGTCGGTAGAGGATGTGACTCTTGATCTCTGGATTGTGAGTTCAAGGCCCACCTGGGGTATAGAGATTCCTTAAAAATGAAATCTTAAAACAAAACAAAATGAGTTTGCATTAATTTCACCACAATCTACAAAAGGAAGTCCATTAAATTAATGTATAGAATAATTAACACAGAGGAAGTGTTTCATCAGTCTATTTACCACCACTTAGTACCTTGAATGAGCCCCATTCTAATTACAACGAAGCACACAATGGAACCCACATTGGGCAGGATATTCTTAGTGAGAAGGGGAGTTCCGAGGTCAAACATAAATGTGAAATGCAAAGTTGATTAAGACTTAACTAAGTTTCTTTACAGGAGGACTGCTTAGTTGCTAAGGCCAATATGCAAACCTCCAAAGGAAGAACAAATGATTCATCATTTTTCAAATCCAACTGACCCCAAAATTAATGTCTTAAGCAGTTCCTCTTCCTACGTTGCAGAAACCCTGTATTGCAAGTTGGGAAACACAGATGAAGTACCTGCCCTTCAAGAAGCCTATAATCTAGTAGGAGAAACCTCTAAATATGCACAAAAGAATGACTGACATGTCACATGGTACAGTGGGATTTTAGGTAAAGTAAGCGGAGAGGAGGAGCCATCAGTGCAGTCTGAGAAACCTGTGATGACTTTGTGGTAAAGGCCTAATTTAAACTGGGCCTGACAAAATAGAAGGGGGGGGGAAGATAGGGGGAAGATGATAAACAAGGACAGAAGAATGAGTGAGTGAGGAAATCAGTAGTAGAGACAGTCTTGTATGAGTCTGACTTGTCATCTGTTTCCATAGACCAGTCAAGGGTTTTTGTTTTTTGTTTGTTTGTTTTTAGTCAAGGGGTTTTAATGGACAATCTACATTCATTCAACATCATAAACTACTTATTAAATGTCTTCTTTTTAAAGTACAAATGTTTACTAGTAATTCCTTCTGTACTAGTTTTTCTTAGGAGAAAACAATATCAATAATAAGCCTGTCTACTGCATGTCAAAGAGGCTTCTAGGGTACCTCAGGCAGCCACAAAGTACTCTTCCACATATCCATAACTCCTTATCCACAGTTCAAAAACCCCCAAGGCTCTGAAAACCTTAAGGTCTTTTCCCTGATTCATTTTGTGGCAAATCTTTCCTGAACCAGTGAGAACCTATTGATAGTCTTTATTCCACTTAATGTGAACTTCCATTCATTTTGCTGTAGAAATAGTAATGTATGGGCTCTAAGTATACTTGTACTAAGGACCTTTATAAGTATGAACTCACTCCCTTCTCCCAACCTCACGAAGAGGTAGGTCCTGTTATCTAACCATTTTATAGAATCGACACTGAGGGGCTCCTGGGTGGCACAGTTGGTTATGTGTTCAGCTCTTGGTTTTGGCTCAAGTCATGACCTCATGGGTCATGCTCTCACAGGTCATGATTTCATGGGTCATGATCTCATGGGATGGAGCCCACAGATCAGGCTCCATGCTCAACAGGGAGTCTACTTGAAGATTCACTCCCTCTGCCCCTTCCCCCACTCGTGCACTCACTCACTTAAGTGCATACGCTCTCGCGCTCTCACGCACTCTCTCTCTCACTCAAATCTTTAAAAAAAAAAGAGAGAGAGAGAGAGAGAGAGAGAGAAATTGAGGCTTACAGAGGCTGGGAAAAATAACCAGGGTCACAAGCTATGATATGGCAGAGCCATGATTCAAACCCACACAGTCATTCCAAGGGCCCAACTCTGACCATGCTCCTATAATACAGGAAAACACAAATACATATTCAATCCCTGCACACAAGAGGACCACAACTCAGCAAGAGAAACACACACACACACACACTGGGTTTTAGTCACAAATTCGCAGCAGATCATGGCTTTATGATTCTCTTCATACAATAGATATATATCCTACAGTTGGAAACTTTCTACCAATAAATGAAACAAAACTGATTATAATAGAAAGTAGAAGACAATTACTCAGTCTTTTTTAAAGGAGGAAATTACTCACTGAGGAAATATTTTTTCATTCTTATATGGGTACTAGTAGCTAAGAAAGAACGGACACTTTTCTACAGCTGAAGAGACAGCATGTCTCACATCTAACCAAAAATAGGACATGAGAAAAATGAGATCATATTTGAAATCCTGGGAAATTCAACCTAATATTTGCTAATCTGACCTTCTCTTAGACTCTCTTCCCATAAAACTCACCATGGTAATATTTTAGGTGAGCCTGAAAGACAGATCTGACTCATCCCAAGAATTCCAAAAAGCAAGATAACTGTGGGAATGTGATTATCAGTCCTTCTGAGGAAGGGATAAATAATTAAACATGTTCTTTCACAATGAGATTCTTATTCTCTCTGACGCATCACCAGTGATTGATTCAGTTTGAACAGGACATCCAACAACAATTGAGCAAGAGAATCAGTTCAGATCCAGACAACAGTAACACACAAGTAGTACTGACTCAGGCCAACAACTCAAGTACAACGTGGCGGAACTAAGTGACACACTGCCTCTAAGTGAACACACAATTATAGTATTTTTAATTTTCCCCCAGAAAAGCTTCCACAGTCTATCTATATGAAATGATAGGACATCTGATAACACTGAAGCCAGGGAGCCTTCCATTTAATCCCACTCTGGATCCCAGAGGACTCCTCCCTGCCACAGTATCTAGCATGAGAAAGCAAAATCAAAACTCCCCAACTTTTGCCAATCACACCTTTGTACCAGAGACAATGCTATGTGCTCCTCAAATCCCCTTCCATTTTTTTTTCCTGGCACAAAGCCAGTCTGAGTTTCTTATCCACTGCAGTTAGGTAGGGTCACACAAGTGAGTTTGACCAATGGAATGTGGATGGAAATGATTCATCTCACTTTCAGGACTAGTCCCTAAAACCTTTTGAGAGATCCTCCACGCACTTCCTTCATCCATCAGCCAGATGCAGAGGATCCTGTGGAAAACCCCAAGGCTTCAGATGGTGGAGTCATTGAATGATCACTCTAGCCCAATCCACACTAAGCTGTGACACAAGTGAGGAAGTACCCCTTGCTATGTGAAGCTACCGACTTCTGCAGTGGTCTGTTCTAACAGCTAGTATTGATCACTGATGAGCACAGCTTATCTGGACTGTGACCTCACCGTGGGGCACCAGTTAAACTGCAGCATCCATACCCACCTGTGTCATTGCCAATGCAATCAATTATCAGACAGATTCCTAGGGGCTTGCTCTGCATTCTGTATCTCTCCTCTGGTATGTGCTGGAAAGGAAAGCAGGGATTGTTAAAAACTCTCACCACTGCTCTGTTTACATGAGGTCCCACACACACACTATCTTTTCTTTTGGATTTCCTCAAGCTTCCCGTTGCCAGGTGAATCATTCAATAGACACAGCCTGAAGTCACCACAACTGACATTTCCCATTAATTTCAATTTTTTTTCTCTATTTAGGTAAAGTGCTTAAGACAAGCTGTTTCAGTTTTTATTTAATTTTCATGAAAATCACAGTCTCTTTACACATGACTTAGCTCTGCAGGATAAAGACAATTTAAAGCTGAGAGAAAGGATGGGTCACATGTTTCCACAGTAACCTGAGTTTATAAAAGTATATTTTTCCAAACCAGCACAAAAGAAGGCCTTCTATTGCCTCCTTATGGAGAATGGGTTTCAGCCTTTTTAAAAGGCCAGAGCAAGTCAAGGTTCAGCGTCACTGCTTACTTATATATTCAGCAATCACTCAGCTGAGGAGAGAAGTGCCACTCTGGAATTTCCTGCATTCCAAAGTTCACAAATGCAATCCACTTCAACATTTTTCTCTTTGCTCTATCCCCCGTAGGAGAGCTCTCTCGGGAGAATGGAACTCTCAACGTCCTATTCTTGTCACAGAGAATTATTAATGGACAGCTATTTTAAAGAGAAGCCAGTGTTCTCTACAGATACCGCGCATACAGCACAATACCAAATCAGATCATTTATTCTGTACCCTCGGTAGAAATGGTCCTGATTCCTGGACGGATGCCTTCACTGATTCTCCTGGGGGATGAGAGAGAAATCAGTTACAAAGCTGAAGGAGAATTGAGCCCATTCCCATGCTGACTGGGTTTCTTTATATCTCAGTTGTTCTCTTCCCCAGCTCTAGTCAGTCCCAAGGTGCCAACCTCACCCTGAAGAACCTAACTGTTAAGAAAACACAAGTTCCCATGCTATGCAGGGGGTATAGAAAAACTGCTTAAATAACAAGGGAAAAAAGGCTCTCCTTTGCCCTTTTCCAGGCAAGCACCAGGTGACTTATGAATTTTTAAACTGATACGGAGAATCCAATAATCTTGTCACCCAACAACATCGGTAGCTTTCTTCCATGTGTGAAACCATGGGCAATGCGTAGGGGGGCAGCCTTAGAGACTGGAGAGCAGGGAAAATTTACTTGTCACTTGTGCAACAGATGGCCATGCTTTCTTAGTCCAGTGATATTGAGAGATCATAAAATAAAATGACAACGGCAAAGACAGAGAGCCGTGAGTATAACAAATGTAGATGAGCCTAAAGCCAATAATATTAGGTAAAAATGACTTTATTAGCTCAGAGAGGTAGAGAAACCACCAGTTTTGAAGTCATAAATGGCTGACTCATACCCTAGCACCTTCACTGAGGAGCTCTGTGATCTTAGGCAAGGTTCCTCCTAAAGTCTCAGAGTGTTTCTTTAGTTTTGCTTTTAAATCCCTAAGATGAACATACCGACTTCTCCTTTATAAGATTCTTACAAAAATGAGAATATCTAAAGACCAGCAAAGAAAATGGCAGTATTTATAATGTTTCAGGGAAATGAGTACTTTCAAGTTGTAAGTTGAAACAGTCTTTTTAGGGGCATCTGGCTAGCTCAGTCAGTAGAGCATGTGATCCTTTATCTTGGGGTTGTAAATTCAAGCCCCATGTTGGGTGTAGAGATTACCTCAAAAAAATAAAATCTTAAAAAAAAAAAACCAGTATTTTTAAAGGACAACTGGCAATACACTTAACATTCTGCTTCTAGAAATTTATCCTAAGGAAATAATGGAGCAAGTATGCAAAAATACCTACTGAATAATTATTTATAATGGCCTCAACCCAGAAAAATACTTAAAAATTCTCCAACATGAAACTGGCTAAACAAATCATGGTACACATAATGGGTACTATACATGTTAAAAAAAAGATAGGAAAGATCTTTATGTATTTGACATGAAAAGATATGCAGGATATATTAACTGACAATGGATTATGAAATAACATGAATAATATTAATAGCATATACTTAAAAATATGTATTTGTGTGTATATGCTTACACATACACATACACACTTATAAGAGTCTAGAGGTATACAAATCAAATGTTGTTAGTGGTTATCTCATACCTGGGATTAAAAGGAAATTTTTCTTTTTCATTTTGTATTTAAGCAATCATAGATTAACAGAATTTTAAAAACCACAAAACAATCTATGTAATATGCCTATGTGGGGTTAAGGCACTTAATAAGAGCTTAATATATTGTAGTGATCATCATCATCATCCAATGGAAATCTATTTGGAAGTCCAAATATGAATGCTTTTTTATTTATTCGCAAATAAACCAGGTCCAGGCAAAAGCAGGTCCCTAGGTCTCCGAAGGATCACAATGGGTGTTGGGAGCCTCACCCACCTCACCCATCATTAAAATTAAGGAGAAACCTGCCATAAGGGTACACTATGGAAAGAACAACAATTGTTCTTCATTCCTACCCAAATCTACCAGGTCCCTTATTTTCCTTTTAAACAGCTTTTGGAAGGCTAATTCTCACCACCTCATCAGTGTTTTGAGAAACACACTGTCACTTCAGGAATAAATTCATGTCTCAGTAGCTTTTGCTGGAGAGCGGAATACTAGGTAGGGAATGACAGTCAAGAGCAGTACCATCTGGCTAATCTGGGGGAAATGCTTCTCAGTTTCTAGGTTTAGGCAGACAGCATGTAGGTTGACTCATAAGATTTTGGCAAGAGGCCTGCCACACAAAGAAGGCTTCCATTGGGCCACTGTTCCACAATTGCCTCTGCACGCAGGACAAATTCTAAGTTCCTCAGGGAGGACTAAGCCCTCCTTACCTGCCTATCAGTCACTGCCTCCTGAAGTTCTGAGGCTCAGTCAGCTACACTGCAGTGCAAGACCGAGTCTCATTCTTCACTTCAAGGAGTACTCAAGATTAGCAAAAGAAATACACTTTTAAAAAATGATGTGATGGGATCAAGTGCTGATGTTTTAAGAGAGAAGAGAGAGATCGTATGGGTTGAAATGATTCGTTTTTTTATTGTATTTTTCTTTCTTTTTAGGAGTAGGAGGATGTCATCTGTACAATATCTAAATTTATTAAATGTGCCATAAGACAAGATCCTAGTAACTTTTCTTCTTCCTACTCCAGTTATTTGGTTTAACATGGTTCATTATCATGGCTAGATTAATGTTTGACGTAGCCTGGTTATGATTCCATCTCAGGAATAAATAGCACATCTCTTAAAAATACAATCAAGATGATGAAGCTGATAGAGTAAGAGGTATTTGCATTCAAAAAAGCTAATTCATTAAATAATTAGAAATGCCATTGACTACATTTTAAGAATTTAACTGCTATTTATGTTGAGAGCTTCATCAGAATATGTAGATAAAGGTAATGGCAAACTCCCAAAATGCAACAATTGGTACTTGAATTACCAAGTATTTATAAAGAATGAATAAAAAGAAAAATTGGGCTTACGTTGAAGGTCAAGTTGTCCCACATTGAGTATTTGTTCTTTACTTCTTCCATTCTGGAGCTTCAAATATAAAGAATAAGGTCACATCCCCTGTTAGTTTTTTCAGAGGCATGTTATATCACACCTCTTTAAATATCTCAATAGAATTCTTGCACAGGAAAAAAATAAAAGTATCACATTCACAGTTAAATTATCTAAAGAAGAATAGCAAGAGTGGTTAACTCCATAAATCCCATAATCTCTAAACCAAAAACAAGGCAATGCTTCTTTTTAAAAAGTGAAAGTACAATGAACATGCAATATCCTAAATTAGCTTATTAAAATGTTTTAAAACAGCGCAATAAAGTCAGATGTTATAGTATTGTAGAGTTGCTATAATGATTCCAAGTTAGAACAAGCTGTTAGAATATCAGATTGACATTTTACTCCTGATCCTTTAACACAGAGGCAATGTATGGTATGATTAAGAAGGAGAATTCTAAAGTGTTGGCAGGGATGTGGGAAAAAAGGAACCCTCATGCACTGTTGGTGGGAATGTAAATTTGTTCAGCCACTGTGGAAAACAGTACATAAGAATTTCCTCAAAAAGTTAAAAATAGAAATATTATTTAATCTAGTAATTCCACTGCTGGGTATTTTTATCCAAAAAATACAAAACACTAATTCAAAAATATATATGTACCCCATGTTTATTGTAGCATTATTTACAAAAGCCAAGATATGGGAGCAGACTAAGGATCTGTCAATAAAGAACAGACACAGATAAAGAAAATATTATATATATATATATAATGTTATATATATATATAATGTTATATATATAATGTTATATATATATAATAGAATATTATGCAGCCACAAAAGGGTGAGATTGTGCCATTTGTGACAACATGGATGGACCTAGAAAATACTATGCTAAGTGAAATAAGTCAGACCGAGAAAGACATATACCACTCATATGTGGAATCTTAAAAATAAAATGAATAAACGAACAAAAAGCAGAATCAGACTTATAAATACAGAGAACAAACTGTTGGTTATCAGAGGGGAAGGGGGGTGGAAATATGGGCAAAATGGTTGAAGGCTTCCAGTTATGGAATGAATATGTCACAGAAATAAAAGGCACAGCATAGGGAATATAGTCAATGATATTAGTTTGTATGGTGACAGATGGGAGCTGTGCTCCTGGTAAGTGTAACATAATGTATAAACCTGTGGAATCACTATGCTATACACCTGAGACTAAGGTAACATTTTTGTGGCAACTATATTCAAATAATAATAATAATAATAATAATAAATAAAATAAAATAAAAAGACCATGAGGAGTTCTAGCCCAGAAAAACCTGCCTATGAATCCTGATCCTGCTACTTACTAACCATGAAAGTTTGAGCAAGTTATTTAACCTCTACATCTGTTTCTTTATCTTCAAAATGAGAATAATAATAGTAGCCATCTTATAAATATTTTGTGAAGATTAAATGTTACACAAAACATGTAGCAAAGTGCTAGCATATTAATTTGTTTCTATAATGTCTAGTTATTGTTTTCCTATAATGCCTAGCTGCACTTAAACCACATGTGGGCTTGGTTCTTAAAAATAAGCTACCAAAAAAAAAAATCAGCTACCAATTCTGAGGGCTAGAATAAAATTAGAGAATGAAAGATTGAACCGACCCTTTCTCTTCTTGGATGACAAGTCCTTTGTAAGGTACATAAACCACATACTGCCAACCATCTGATAGGTTCAGCTTTCAAATGACAGTTCTCCTCTGAAGCTATCCTAGCCAAAAGAGAGAAGTATACTATTCATTAAATCTTTGTGTCTGAATTTAAAAAAAAAAAAAACATGTAAGTTGCTATTATCACGAATAATAAGTGACTTAGCCAGAGGTTTAATACTACATAGAATTTGGAACCCCACATGGATGTGCATTCACATTTACATAGCCATTAGAGAAATATAACATCAAATCAAAGCTAGATTTAAAAAAGCATTATATTGCAGAATGACACAACTTTTTTATTCTATAATATGTTGTGTCATGTGTCATTTAATGTCACTATAATCTTTAAAGCACTTTGCACTCTTACATGAGTTAACATCCAGGCATTCACTTTCTAATTTTATGAGAAATTCACTGAATCCGTATGCCACAGCTCTGCTTACTAAATGAATTAATGATCAGGGTCATAGATCAATACAGCAAATTAAAGAGAGTTTTATATAGAGAGTATGTGAGTTCCCAGTAGGCCACATAGACAGTGAATACATTGACTTTCGCCAACAAAATAGAAAGGCGATAGTAAAAATATGGCAAGCTTTTAACTAAGAGTGACAGTATAATTTATATTAGATATACAACAGTAGAAAAAGCTCAGGAAATCTGGATCTGAAACCTAAATCAATTTTGTTTCATGGTATCACACCATGAAATTATTCTCTTGGTATCACAGAGATTCAGCAGGACAAGAGGAAGTATATTTGATTCTTGAAAAAATGACAGATATGCTTAAGCTATGGTATGATTGGTATGTAGTTTATTAAATATACCATGGTATAGAAGAAGGAGCATGGACTAGGACCAGTTCTGGTGGTCCCTTGAAGTGGGCAATCACTAGTGCACTTCAGGCCTAAATTTTTTATTTGTTCAATGAGGGGGGTTGGACAGTATAATCTTTCATACCCACTTCAGCTTTGAAATTCTATTGCTAAGGTTTACCTCTCATAGCTCACATTCTCCAACAAAACTATTTCTATTCCAGGAGTAGTTAATGTTTTACTCACACACTTTTATGAAAGCGTTTACAATTTAACCACAAAACTGCACTATGACCTAAGGCCTGACTACAAATTCCACATATCTGTGTATGGGGATGAGGATATTATAATAGGATTAACTTCTCAAAATAAAACACTAACCAAGAACAATTATGATAATACCTTGCACTATTTACTAATATAACAAACAGAAGTGACTATGTTGTACGGTCACAAATCATTCACTCAGTAATATAACTCAATAACACAAACACTTCTGCTGAAAATATTGATATTTATTTTGAATCACTGTAGTAACAAAAGACTGGGAAGCATCTAAATATATACACACACAAAAGGGTCATACACATTGTGATACATCCAGAAAGTAAAACCATTACAAACAATGACTAAATAGAGGTGGTCCCATATGACTCATACAGAACAATTTCTAAGAATTCTCAGCTCAGGACAATGGGTACAATGTTCTACCATTTGCAAAAAAAAAAAAAAAAAAAAAAAAAAACTGAAATATGATATGTGCATAGATACCTCTGGATTTTACAGAAGGAAATGGTTAACAACCATTTGGGGAAGGGAACTGGGGTCAGAGAAAACATACTTTAAAAATTCTTTTAGCACACCTTGAAATTTTTGTTGACGAGTATGTCCTACTTATATTTAATATAAGCTAAATTTTCTGAAGAACAAATGAACAGTGAACAAAACATTCAGTTGTATGTATAGATACACAAACATGCATAGAAAAAAGACTAGAAGGAAATTTGTCAAGATATTAACAGTTGTTATTTTTAGATGGGATAGAAGTGATTTATTTTCCTTCTTTTATATTTCTCTGTACTTTCCAAATGCTTTCAATGAACACAGGTTAGCTCTGTAAGTATAAGGTGTACATATTTTTTTAAATGCATAGTTCTATCATTTTTTTCAGACATTAAATGAAGTACATGCTGTAAGAATATGTATATTCTTATCAAAGTTCTGAAACTGTTTCACGCTGGAATTCCAAACATTTGCTCCAGACTCACCCTTAAGTTACATGAAGGATCCTTAAGACTCAAATTTGGGAATGATGCCTGGAGTGCATTTGTATAATTTGTTCCAGCTCCTTGAGCTGTAAACAGAAGAGAGGTATTGACAAGATTTACAAGCTTTTGTCAAGTGAATATTCAACAGTGGCTCAGTTCAGAGTCAATCATTCTGGGATGGAGCCCTACTTCAGGCTCCTGCTCTGCATGGAGCCTGCTTCTTCCTGTCCCTCCCCCTCTTCCTCTCCCCCCCCACCTCTTCTCCCCTTCCCTCTCCCCCTGTTCATGCTCTTCCCCCATGTGCCCATGCATGTTCTTTCTCTGTCTCTGTCTCTCTCTCCCAAATAAAATCTTTAAAACAAAACAAAAATATCAGATCGGATGATATTTTATTGGTCTTTTATTGGTCATGGGGGCGTGGGAGGTTATCTGTAGGTCACTGGGTCTCAGCTATGCCCTTTAGGCTGTGACTCTTTGGTGGCAATGGATTGCTAACAGAGCCCATGCTGAGACTGAGTCTAAAAGACAATGGGGGAGGGGTGGCATGAGAAAGAAGGCCAATGTGAGTCTAGTCCTCTTTATGAAGGGAGCCAAGTACCCTTTTCCATGAGGAGGTTTTATGAAACTCAGGACACATGCAGGGCAGTTATGACAGGATGTCATTCAGAATTGGATAGTTGTCAGGCCCAACACTGGAGCAAGACAGAAGGGCTTGGCATATATCCAAAAGCCCTTAGTGTCCACAATGCTGCCAGCCTGTGCAGAAAATGGAGGTATAGACTATTTCTTGAAGGTCCAAATGTTAAGAAGTTCTTGGCAGGGCTTTGCAGAGGGCTTAGACTCTGTGATCATGGGTGTGGGTAATGAAGTCAGTAGATCTGGGATGTGAAAGATAGAAAGGGATATGATCTCTAGCCATAGGCTAGTGGAGACTGATGACACTCGGGTTCTGTTCCTTCCACTTATCCAACAAATTTTTACCAACCAAACCCAGTATGCACAGGGTACTTTCCTTAGGCCACAGAGAGGCCAAAATTCTACTTACCAGACTGCTTGTATTTCTGGATTTTTGTCTTCAAGTCTATTCTGTGGATGTTCTTCAGGCATTTTTCTAGTAAATCCAATTGATCTGGAGCAATCAGATTTAGTTTTTCTAATTCGATCACAAGATCTAGGAAACTCTGAAAGAGCCACCAACAAGACACAAATGTCAGTAAGGTTGACTATTAAGCCCCAAATGCAAACCTCAGGCTGTATGATTTGTGACAGCAAGAAAATGTAGTAAGAAGAGCCCCTTCCATGATCTTCAGTGATCCTACACCAGACCTCTCTGCTTTATAGTCCCTCCAAAGCCAGGGGCAAATTACACTCCTGGATTTTACTGAGAAAGAGGTGGTAAGTCTTTTGGTGGACAACTGTACTTAGGTTGGGGATAGACACAAGGGCCATTTTATGTTATCAAGAAGTACCAAGAGAGAGCAGGCCTAAAAATAAAATCCTCCTGAGGTCATTCTCCTCCAAAAGGCCAGGCTTTCCTAAAAGGGGAAGAGAGAAGATAGCTGGGGGAAAGTTCCTATTAGAAAAATTCCAGTGGGGATCCCTGGGTGGCTCAGCGGTTTAGACACCTGCCTTCAGCCCAGGGCGTGATCCTGGAGGCCCAGGGTGTGATCCTGGAGGCCCAGGATCGAGTCCCAGAATCGAGTCCCACATTGGGCTCCCTGCATGGAGCCTGCTTCGCCCTTTGCCTGTGTCTCTGCCTCTCTCTCCCTGTCTCTCATGATTAAATAAATTAAAATCTTTTTAAAAAAATTCCAGTAATGTGATTTTGAAGTTCCTAAAATATTTTAATCAATTCTGGACATTCCAACTCATTCTGACTCAAGAGTTAGGAGGAAGCAAAATTAAAAAGTGATATTACTACTCACTTGCCCTGGACCAAAGACATTATTAAAGAACTATATTTCAGAAATACTCATTGCTTTGGCCTTTTATTTCCCTTCTGTTTAACATTTGATTACTGAGGCTCTATATTTACTTTTTAAAATAATCAACATGAAAGTGATATAAGTGATTGGCAGATAAACTGATTTAGGGACACCAAAAAGAAGTACTATTTTTTCATTTTCCTTCCCATTAGATGCATTTGATGGTGGGGGCATCCAATCGTCCCATACGCCTAGATTTCAGAAACAAACCTACAATTATTAAGGAACATAAGGAAATTCTCAGGTAACAACTTACCAAAGGACCATCCTCAGAGGCAGATCCTTTAAAAATATATTGTCATATTCTAGAGATCTGAGGTTTTCCAGGCCTGTCCTTAGGCCAGCAGTACCACATAGGGCCAGACAGAATTTAAGTACTCTTCCAGTAATTACAACATCCCTCAGATCTTGATTCCTATCTAGTTTCTAATCCCCAATCTCTACTTTTGCCATTCCCTGGATACATGAGTCACAAGTACCTTCCCCTACCCCATCTCCACATGGAGCCTAATGACTTCACACTGACCTCAGCTAGCTGAGGGGGGAAATAGATGGCTGTGGGAGGGCAAGACAGGAGTGGACTCGCACTTCCCACGTGTCTGCGCTCGGCATGAGCAGATGGGACTTCCTAACCTTCCCAGATGGTCTATCAAATGAGAGAGAGAAACTAATGCAGAAACCCCTGGCTTTTATAGAAATAAGATAAATACAAGGATGAAGAAAACACCCAGGGCCACTCTACTTCCTCTCAACTGAGAAACCAATGCTCTTCCCATCAATGTTATTAAGAAAAAACGTTACTCTTCTCACTTCTTACTTTTACCCCCAGCTTGGGCCTCTCCCCACTCTTCACACCTTAGAGACCACAGCCGGCCTTCTGATAGGCTCTTGGGAACATCAACCAAGAAAAAGAAAACTCACCTTATCCTTGGCTACTTTGTTTCGACCCATATGATCCCTCATGAGGAATATTAATGAGGACACATCAGATTTGTCTAAATCATCACCAATCTCTGTCATCAGCACCCTGGAAACCAGACAAGTTTTTAAAGTAAATTCAGATACCATTCCTAGTGAAAACACCAAGAGCCTATGCCTCTGCTGTGCCAACAATTAGTTAAAAGACTATTCAGGCCCCCATTTGATACATACCCCCATCAAACAGAAAGCCTAGGCTATCCTAAGATATCTCAAGGGAACTCAAAAAGGAAGTTCATCCTTTCCCCTACTTTCAATAGGAAATAGTACCTCTCTTTCCAACTAACTGCTCTAAAAACAACCCAGAGAATAAAAACTTCCCTAAGGAATCCCCTAGCTCCCCCAGATGTTACAATGAAATAAGTAAAGAACATATATGACTAAGATGGAAGACATAAATAGAATTTGAAGTGATCTTGTCTTCTCTGTTTGACAAGTTCCCAGGTGATGCTGATGCTATATAGACCCAGGCATCATACTTTGAGTCACAAGCTTTTACAGCAAAGTTATACCTGGGGTATCCAACTCAAAGCGTAAAAAGCATGGAGAGTCTGGAGATTGTGACCATCAATGTCTTTGTCTAGAAAGTCCTTCCTGATTCAGTCACCTCTACTCCAGGGGGAGCCACCCTCACACTTTATCTGGGCTCCCAGGACATGCTGTGGTTGGCTTTATTGCCTTGACATTGTCATCACTGCTTAGAAAGCTGTTTTCCCAATTAGGCTCTCAAATTCTTGAGGACAGCTCCCTTCATTTTGCTCTACCACTGACGAAACACCTGGCATATGTTGATCCAAAAGAAAGGCCACTGAAGAAATGAGTCAATGAATCTAGCATCCCCTCCCACTGCCCAGACTCTCTGCCCAGAAGCTCTGAGGAACTGTCTACACTCACCATAGCAAGGAGACAGGAAATGGAGAGTGCCCTAACTTATTCACTGAAACCCAGTGCCTCTGAAAAAGTTTTAAGAACATGACAGACATATGGTAGCTGAAGAGGTGGAAGATGATCAAGAATAACAACAATAATAATGAACTCTTGCACTTATAGAGGGCTTCACAGTTTTAAAAGTACTTCACCTACTAAATTATCATAATTGATCTTCACCAACATGCTTGTAAAATCAGGTTTCATTGTTTTTAGCTTTACAAGTAAGAAAATGAAGGCCCAACCGATGTTAGTGGCTGGCTCAGCCTGTGTGGCCTGTAGCTAGTAGTTCTAGGACTTGAAATAGGCCTCTAGACCTCAAATCTCAGACCCTCTCCAAGGTCTATGCTACTTTCAACTCTCTTTAATATAGTTTTTGATAATACACATCTTCTCCAAAAGTGCATCATTGATATAATTAAAGGCTAGTGGTCTGGGGAAAAAGTAACCATTAATTTAAGGTTACAAAGTATCTTCCTATCTCCAGGAATGCAGCCTTTCTTGTTGCTTCTGTGCTCCTCTGAACCTCCAAGAGAGTAGTCTCTGAACATGAGGAAGGAAAAACTCAAAAATGGTCTGAACTAAAGGGGACTCCAGTGACCATTCCTCTCTGAACTGAAGGGGCCCTACAGCTGGTTAATGGATGGGATGTTCATTCTGCATCCCTGCCCCACTGAGCCTCTGGGGACAAGGACGTTACAGAAATTCAAAGAAAGGGAGTTCACCTCACTAACCTCCTCAGGAGGGGAAAGGCCAAAGGGGACTTGGGAGGGATCACAGAGCTTTGCAAAGGTCAGGAAGATCATTGTCAGACTTGTTATTTCCTTTCTCAGTCTCAGAATTTGCCAGTCTGACATCATAGAAAATAAGCTAGGAAAGACCACTGCAGATCTCATGGCCAGAGGATGGCAAGAATTACGAGCTCTTAGTCATCTCTCTCATTCTGTTCATCAGGCAAATACATAATACCCAGACCTTCCACTTTATGGTCTTCTACCCAATTACTTTAAGCAAACAGGTTCTAAGAATTCAAAGACTTCAAAGGACTGAAGTAACAGCATAAGGCAGTTGAATCTGTGGGTAAAGAAAGTAACGTGGCTGCTTTTATTTCCTTCATTTCTATTGTTCATAAGCCTACATCACCTCACTCCCTCCCACCAGGTCCAGCCTTGAGAAGAGCTGATGAATTAATTACCTATAGTCTGAAATGAGGCGAGGGTGCCTGAGCAGGTGGGCCTCTACTGCCTTTCTGTCCATCTTGAAAATCCGCTTGAGCAAGTCAAACCGCCTCACTCTGTAGAGCAGCTCAGCCAAGCCCATGGCAGACAGCTTTCCTCTCTCACTTAAAATATCCAGAAGGTCTCTGACAGTAAGTGGAGCAACATCTGCAGCAATGTCCCGGCACAAAAAAAGAAGCATTTCCTTCTCGTCTTCATCAAGTGCCTCTTCGACCTGATGGATGACCTCAGCAGACATTCTTCTGTACAGTGTCATTCCAAAAAACTGCAGTAATAAAACTCCACTCCAGTCAATAAAAGGCCATGAAGCTGCTGTCTTCATTTCTGATGGTTTTCTTCATTTCTTTCAAAGTCCTTTCCAAAGGAGTTCTATGGTTAAAAGGGAATTTTTTTAATCCTCTTATCAAAGTAACCAATTGCTAAAATTCAAGGTATAGGCTCTTCCTTTCTTGCTGGTCTCTCTAACCTAGCAGAATAAATTTATATTGTTATGTCTTTAGAGAGTAGGCAAAGCAACTGATCAAAAAGCCAAGGCAGACAAAGAAGATAAACTACATTTTAAAGGAAATGAAACCAGAAACAAATTATCTCCCAAAAAATCCCACAGGCTTTATCAGAATTTATGAGAATGTCAAAGACGGTAAGAGGAAAGTTACAATGACAGAGTTAATAACTAAGTGACATACTAATAACTTTGGTGGAAGGAAGAAGAAAAAGCCCAATGACTAAGCTGCTAACTGGACTAGAAAAACTGGTATCACAGAGTTAAATACCACTTTCGGTGATACCAATAAGGTACATCTGAACAAATACAGGTCTTTTTTTTTTTAAGATTTTTTTTTTAAGATTTTATTTATTTATTTATGAGAGACACAGAGAGAGAGGCAGAGATACAGGCAGAGGGAGTAACAGGCTCCATGCAGGGAGCCCCATGAGGACTCAGTCCCAAGATTCCAGGATCAGGCCCTAGGCCAAAGGCAGGTGTTACACCACTTAGCCACCCAGGGATCCCCACAAATACAAGTCTTGACAAGAAACCTTCTGCAGGGTACCAGATCTACTCTACCCTTTTCCTTCCAGTTGTCTCCTGCCCTAAAACCCATCAGAAGCAGAAATCTCTGCTGCTATCCTCTCAAAGTCCCAGGTCCTTTTTACAACTTCATCATGAATGCTCACAGGACCTGCCACCTTAGCTGAACAAAGTTCTGATCACTGCTTCAGACCCTGAGCCCACAGAAATGCCAGAGGCCCCTTACTCTCAATACACTGCTTTAGGTCAGCAATTATCACAAGTTTTTGATGATATCAGTGGAAGGAAGGAAGTAGAACAGAAAATCTGGGGAAAGTTCTTGATCCAGGGCTGGACTTGGGTGGGAGCAATGGGAGGTAATGTCAAGGACATATTCTTAATTGCTTCCATTGAAACTCAACCTATTCTTTCTCAAAATTTAAGTTACAAATGGTAGTCATTATCTACTCTATAGTTTCATAGCTGTATTTTTAAAGATTTTGTTTATTTGAGAGAGAAAGAGAGATAGCAAAAGAGAGCATAAGCAAGGAGGTGAAGGAGAAGCAGACCCACCCATTACCCTCGCGGAGTAGGGAGCCTGCTACAGGGCTCAGATCCCAGGACCCCAGGATCATGACCTGACCTAAAGGCAGATGCTTAACCAACTAAGCCACCCAGGTGCCCTTATAGCTATATTTTATGTTAAGTAAACTCTTGTGTTCTGAGAGAGTATCTTGTCTATTTCTGTTAGAGAACATTTTAAGATTAAAGTACATCTTAGCAGAAAAAAAAATGGAAACACAACCCCATTATGAGCTGCTGTTACTATGTATTTGTGTACAAGTGTATTGCTATATTTATCTAGCTATGTTTATTTTTTTTATATTTTTTAATTTTATTTATTTATGATAGTCACAGAGAAAGAGAGAGAGGCAGAGACACAGGCAGAGGGAGAAGCAGGCTCCATGCACCGGGAGCCCGATGTGGGATTCGATCCCGGGTCTCCAGGATCGCGCCCTGGGCCAAAGGCAGGCGCCAAACCGCTGCGCCACCCCGGGATCCCCTCTAGCTATGTTTAATGAAAGGAACACTGAAGCTATTTTATTTATGTACAATTCCAGTCCACAATAGATTTGAGGCATCCTATAATAGCAACAATAAGTACAAGAAAAATTTTATATGAGACATCAGGGAAAAATTAGGTTAAGAAACTATTAAGTTAGAATGTCAAAATGGGGTGGAAGGATAGAGAAGACAAAGCAAATATGCAGACCAGAAAGGCCCAAACAGATTTTAGCAGACTGCAAATTTGTCCCTGAGTTTCCTGGCAGTCAAAGTGAAAAGAGGTATAAGGGACATTAAATAGTTCTTGCTGTCAAAGACAAAAAAGACAAAATAGATTCTTAGAGTAAACACAATTTCTAGAGATCCAGAGTTCCCCATCAATTAAAATAATAAGCATTTTTAGTGTCTAAAAGTAATAAAATCAAATTTATTTTAACTTTTATTTCAAAAATTTTAAATGCCTTATTTTAAAGTAGACCATTCATTTATATCTTCCACATTGGCTAAATGGGTGAGGGTTTTTTTTTTTTAAGATTTTATTTATTTATATTCATGAGAGACACACAGAGAGAGGCAGAGACACAGGTAGAGGGAGAAGCAGTTTCCCTGCGGGGAGCCTGATAAGGGACTCAATCTCATGACCCCAGGATCATGACCTGAGCCAAAGGCAGATGTTCAACTACTGAGCCACCCAGGTGCTCCTAAGTGGGTGAGTTCTTTTTTCTTTTTTTCTTTTTTCTTAAAAGATTTTATTTATTTATTTATGAGACACACAGAGAGAGAGAGAGAGGCAGAGACACAGGCAGAGGGAGACGCAGGCTCCATGCAGGGAGCCCGACATGGGACTCGATCCTGCAACTCCAGGATCATGCCCTGGACTGAAAGCGGCGCTAAACTGCTGAGCCACCTGAGCTGCCCGAGTTCTTAATAAAAATAGACATTTTACCTAATGGATAGTTGTTAATAAGTATTAGTGTGTCTATGCCAATCCCCTGCCCATTCATCCAAACTTCACTTAAATACGGCCATTATGAATAACTGGAGAAATGGAATTTACTAAATGACTGCTCAATGAAAGTAGAAAAACTGGCACTCAGACTACTTTATTTTTTTTAATCTGAAAGCTTAATAACAATTTTATGCATCCCAGAGATCCTACATTTATACTTTCTTTCTTTATTCCCAGGCTAACAATCCTTTAGCCTAACCACTAGTTTCTGTGGAAGGAAGGTGAGTATTTTTTTCTATTGACTAAAAATCACAATTTTGCTAGTAGTTGTTATAAATCAACCTATAAAATATTCATACACACCAGAAGGTATAAAATAAGTCAGAGGTCATTAAACACAAGAGGAATAAATGAGATGCTATCCAAATTCACATGACTTAAATGTTCCCTATTTTTAAAAACAGTAGCCAACTTTTGTAATTCATAGTCATCAATGATATAACAATGCCGTCAAGAGTTAACCAGAATTAGATAATCATTTTTTAAAATGTTATCTGCTCAAAAAAAAAAAAATCTGTTCAGTTCATTCCCTCCAACCATTATGCTAGGACTGCTTTCTGCCAGTCACGCACACCCAGCAAGAGAACTGGCATGCTGTCTTCCCTCTGTACTAATGGAGGTATCCTTTGGCAGCAAAATCCAAATTACTCAGTGGTAGCATCTGGCATATTCAGAAAAAATATCAAAAGGAAAACTACAGATCCTGTACTGAGTCAGACCAACCTGCAGCAAAATTCCAGTGTCTATATGTTAGGGTGGTGTTGAGACAGTTAATTGTAGCTAAAGATGACAGGCACTTGAGAAAGAAGAACATGAAAGGGAGAAGTAGAGTTAGGGTCCAAGTAATCACTACTTTGTTGGGGTTTCTTTTCATCCCAAACCAAGAAATAAAAATCACTCTCAAACTAGGAAAGCCTCTAAGATCCTCAGAAGCAAGCTCAAAACCACCCCACAAGGCACAACCCAAGATATATAAGACATCCATTCTGCTGGAGGCAAGTTCATGCTTAAAAACTGTCATGCACAAAATAAAAATCACCATGGTGGTAGACAACACAAATAAAATTCACATCTGAGGAATCTAAATCTGAAAGAATTTAAATAAATATGAAAACTTTCAAGAAAAATAAGGAAAATTTTCAATACAAGAGGCTTAATCAATAGTTCTCAATCAGTGGCAGTTTTGCCCCTCAGGGGACATTTGAAAACATCTTGAGACATTTTTGGTCCTCAGGCCAGGGATGCTGCTAAACATCCCTTGATGTACAATTCCCCACAATAAAGAATTATCCAATTGCAAACACCAATAGTGCCAAGATTGAGAAACCCTGCACTAGATAATAAGAAAAAACTGGCTAACATAAACAACCAAATGAATTTATAAATTTAATATAAGTACAATCAAAAAAATTTTTAAAGATTGCCACAGACTGTGGCAAGCTGATTTTAAATCTATGTGAAGGAGAAGGTCCAAGAATAACCAATACAAGTTTTAAGAACAACCAGTTGGAAGAAGTTGCCTTACCAGGTATCAAGGTTTTTACAAATGTAATATGGCACGGGGATATAAAATAAAGCAACCAATACAGAAGTGAGAACCCAGAAATCAACCCACACACAGATGACTAAAGTGGTCCTACCAATCAATAGAGAAAGGAAATTAATGTCCAAAAATGGGCTGGGACAACTGGTTATCCGATGCATATGGGGTGGGGGGAATTGGGATCCTTTTCTTACATCATTTATAAGCCAACTCTACTTGTACCTATAGCACCCTGAAAGATCTTGTCTCAGCCAGGGCAGTGGGGAATCAGGAGGCTTTCACTGGGAGTGCTGGACTCACCTGTATGGAAGTGACCCAGAGTTCAGAAAGCAGCCAACCATCTGCTTCCAACACCTCCAAAGCTGCTGCCCAAATCCCTATCTCACCACCATCATGCTTGCCAACAGAGAAACTAAGAAAAGCAGCCAGCTATTGGCTTCTACCTCACTTCTGTTTACACATCTTACCTGAATGTGCCTAGTTGGCTAGTTCACATCCTAGTTGTAGAAGAGTCTAGGAAATGCAGTTTGTAACTTGCCATCCTCTAGATAGAGATGAGAATGAGCACCAGCTGACCTTAGCCACCACAGAAGGAAAATCTATGAGGACATTTATATCTTCTTTGTGGTTAAAGCCTGTGCAAGAACCCCGATGTCTGACTCATAGTAGGCATTCAATATTTGTTGAATGAATCAATGAATAAATGGAGTTTCACAAATTCTTTCCAGGTAAAGACCTCATTC